CTCAATCATCTGCTTTTAAATTTGGTTACAAGGCAGAATTTTGCTGTCATATAATCCTCCATCATAGAGTCCATATAGAATGTAAAGGAACAACAAGAAACAGAAAGACCCTGTGTATCCAAAAGTAGTCCCATAGAAAGTGCTAGTTGGCCTTGACAATTATTTATTCTGAGAACCTGCTTAAGCAGTGATTGGTGATCACCACAAAGACTTCAATATTGGCTTCCTGTTATTAAAATTAAAGCACATATCATTTCTTTCAGTTAACCCATATAAACTAGAAAAATACAAAGTAATATGTACCATCATTCTCAATCACTTTGGAGGGTTTAATCCTTTGTAACTTTTTAATGGGAAAGTACTATGGTTGGGGGACTGAGGATAGTTTGGAAAGTGGCTGTCAATTAAAATAAGAGATCCTATGAAACTTTGTTCCTGACCCCCACCCAACTAGAGATGACTTTCCCTTCCTTAAGTTTCTTACATTTCTCTGACCTCCCTTATGTACTTACTCACATTCTAGCTTGTATCATAGTTACCTATGTAAGTCTCTTAACCCTTACTAGAGTATAATCACTTTGCCAGCAGAGATTATCCTTAAAAAAGTCATGATTCTTTTTGCTTTATGCCATTGTCATCGACAGTGATCTCCTCATCGCCAGATTTAATGGTCTTTTCTTAATCCTCATCCTTCTTGACTCTTGGTGACCTTGGATCGTCCATTCCTCCTCGTCTCTAAGGTTTTGTGACAATGCTTTCTTCTTGTTCTCTTCTTCCCTGTCTGGCAGCGTCTTCTCAGTCTCCTGCTAACTGTGGGTATCCCCTAAGGCTCTGTCTTGGCCTCTCTTCTCTTTCTCCTCTGTACTAGTTTCTTTGATGATCTCATCTGCTTCTGTGAATTCAATTATCATCCTATGATGATGATTAACAGATCTACTTATCCAGTCCTAACTTCTAACCTCCAGACTTACATCTCCAACTATCTATTAGACATCTCAAACTACATAGACATCTCAAACTCACTGTGCCCCAAACAGAACTCATTATCTTTCCTCTTAAGCCTTCCCCTCTTTCTCATTTTCCAATTATTGTCAAGGACAACACCAATCTCCCAGTCATCCAGGCTCTCACCTAAGTGTCATCCTTGACTTTTTTTTTTTGGTGAGGCAGTCAGGGTTAAGTGACTTGCCTAGGGTCACACGGCTAGTAAGTGTAAAGTGTCTGAGGTCGGATTTGAACTCAGGGTCTCCTGACTCCAAGGCTGGAGCTCTATCCACAGTGCCACCTACTTGCCCCCATCCTTGACTTCTTACTCTGTCAGGCTTCCCTCCATGTGCAGCCTGTTACTGTGTGCTCTCATTTCTACCTTCTTAACATCTTTTGTATATGCCCCCTTCTCCCCTCTGATACTGCTAACACCCTAGTGCAGACCCTTATCACCTCACTTCTGTACTATTCAATCAATAATACTTATTAAGAGCCTACTGTGTGCCAGACACTATGCTAAGTGCTGGGGATACAAAAAGAGGCAAAGACGCTATACTCAAGGAGCTTACAATCTAATGCGGGAGACAACATGCAAACAAATATATACAAACTAGTTACATACAGAGTAAATAGGAGATAATTAGCAGAAGGCACTAGAACTAAGAAGATTGGTTTTGTTTTGTTTTTTTAGATTAGGCAGTGGGGTTAAGTGACTTGCCCAGGGTCACACAGCTAGTAAGTGTTATGTGTCTGAGACCAGTTTTGAACTCAGGACCTCCTGACTCCAAGGCTGCAGCTCTATACACTGTGCCACCTAGCTGCCCCAAGAAGATTGTTAAGAAAGGCTTACTGTAAGATGGGATTTTAGCTAGTACTTAAAGGAAGCCAGGAAAATCAGTAGCTGAGGAGAGGAGAACATTCCAGGAATAGGAGACAGCTAGAGAAAATATTTAGAGCCAAGAGCTTAGATCCTTGGGTTTATCAAACATTAAATTACTGTGGTCATTTACTACTGTGTATTGTGCACCTAATCTGTTCCACTGATCCACCATTCTATTTCTTAACCAGTACCAGATTGTTTTCATAATTAGCACTTTGTCATATGGTTTGAAATCTGGTACTGTTACATCATTTTATTCACATTTTTTTTCATAGATGTAGACAGCCTTTTCAAGTTTAGCAACAAAGGATAGAACAGATATAGGACCATAATTAGCATGAGTAGAAGGATCAAGTGAAGATTTTTTTCAGCCTGAGGGAGACAAGATCATTTTTGTAGGCAGTAGAGAGTGAGCTAGTAGGGAGAGATTGAAAATAAGTGATAGAACATGTATGACAGTGGGGGCAATATGTTGGAGGATACAGGATGGAATGGGATCACTTGAGCAGGTGTTAAGGAGTTAGGCTACATCATATGAGAGAGGAGAAAGAGGAGAGAGTGGCAGAGGGTACCTGAGGGATAGGAGAGAAGGAAGAGGGGAGAAGAGGGAGTTCATAGCAAATGGCTTTCATGTTTTCTGTAAAATATGAGGCAAGATTCTTAGCTGAGAAGATGGGGGAGGGGATGCTATAAGTGGTTTGATGAGGGATGAAAATATTTGGAAGAGCTGCTGTGGAGAATGGGATAATGAGTTAATAAGACAAGGATAGAAGGATTGCCTAACAGCTCTGAGAGCCCAGATGACATTATGTCATGTAAATCTGTAGTGGACCCATTGAGAATGGTTGTATGATTTTCTCCACTTTCATTTAGCAGCACATATGTAGGAATGAAGGCAGCAAATGATGAGAGTGATCCAAGGCTGAGACTTGGTTGGACATAATAGGTCATATAATAAGGGGGGTAAGATTTCAAGAAAGGGGGATGGTGTAGAGTTGAATTGGCTCATGGAAGGGTCAAGATGGGGAAGAGAGGAGAGAATGGCTAGTGCAGGAGATGGTCTGGGAAAGAATTGCAGAGTTAAAGAAGGAGGTCACAGTGTGGATAAAGAGTAGGGTTTTGTAAGGGAAGGAGGAGAGAAAGGTGAAAAGTCAATAGTTTATGATTGGATAAGGGGATTTCAGAATTTTTGAATGAGGAGGGGTTACATTTGTGGGTGATGAAAGGTCAAGGGTGTGACCATCTTTGTTTGTGACTAAGGCAGGTAACTCATGGAAAGTGAATAGGTTGAGGAACTGAGTTGTTAGGGTGTTTGAGGGAGAGTCAATCTATGTGTTGAAGGCCCCTAGAGTGAGGGCAGGAGTTGAGGGGGGAGAAAAATTGTGAGTCATGCATTGAATTCACTGAGGAAAGAATGGGAATGTTATGGAGATCTATAGACAACAGCTACCAGGATTTTAATTGGATGGTAGTTATGAATGGCATGAACCTCAAAGGAAGAGGGGTTACTAAGTGATGGAGGTAGAGGGAGAACCTGAAAGTGGCATCGGGGAATAAGGAGTATTCCAACTTCCCTGCCTCAACCAATGACCTGAGAAGAATGAGTGAAAGTGCAGCTAGTACTGGAAAGGGTGGCCAGGGATGCTGTGTCATCTGAGGGGAGCCAGATTTCACAAATCCTAGTAAATAGAAGGAGTGGGAAAGGAAAAGATTTAGGATGAAGAGAAATGTGTTGCCTATGGAACAGGTATTCCATAGGGCATAGTAGAAGCACTAGATGGTGTTTGGTTGGGGTGGGAGGGGTTGAGGGAGATGCAAATAAGGAACTAGGTGGTAGGAGTTGGGGTATTGTAAGAGTCTTCTGGTTGGTTTCCCTATTTCAAGTGTCTCCCCAGTCCAATCTATCTTATACTTAGCGGTCAAAATGGTCTTCTAAAGTTTGAGTCTGACCATGTCACCCTCCCCTCCCTTTCCAGTTCAGTAAACTCCAGTGGCTCCATTTGGCCTCTAGAATCAAATATAAAATTCTCTATTTGGCATCCAAAGCCCCTTCATAACTTCATAACCTTCTAGCTTTACAGCCTTCTTACACCTTACTCCTCCCCATGTACTCTACAGTCCAGTAACACTGGTCCCCTTACTATTCCTTGAAAGAAACATTCTGTCTCTAGACTGGGTATAGACTGTTTCCTCCCTTCCTGGAATTGTCTTCATCCTCATCACTACCTCCTGCCTTCCTTGGCTTCCTTCAAGTTCCAGTTAAAATCCCAATTTCCACAAGACACCTTTCTAAATGCCCCCTTGATGGTACTGCCTTCCCTGTATCTTGTTTGTACATAATTGTTTGCATATTGTCTCCCTATCAGACTGTGAGCTCCCTGAGAGCAGTTTTATTTATTTTTGTTGCCTTTCTTGTATTTCTAGCATCTAGAACAGTGCCTAGTAGGTGCTTAACAATTGATCATTGAATAATTGATTGACTGACTTACCAGGGTCATGCAGCCCCCATGTGTCAGGTTTTCCCAACTCCAAGGCTAATCTACTCTATATTATACCGTGTGTCTTTCTGCCTTACATATTTAAAATATGTTCATATTTTTGTATATGCCTTATATATTTAAAAATGTTCATTGAATTAGATTGAGAGGAAGAGAGGATCAGGGCTTGTAGATCTGGGCCACATAGCAAACACCAACAACAAACAAACAAATATATAACTTACAATTAAACACAAAGGTAGAGGAGAGAGCATAGTTATTTATTATAACCAAGTAGAAAATAGGGGCAGCCTTGCGTTTGTCTCAATGAGGAATTCATGTCAAAATGGAAGTGAAGGAACAAACAGACCAAAAAATGGAAATGTCCCCCACTTCCTCCCCCAAAATTTCCAGGTTTGTTTTTATTTTTTTTTTGTTGAGTGGAGTTTATTTGCTGTCGTGAGGAAGCTGGCCTATTTGTAGCATGACTGGAAAACGATTTTATTTCGAAATGCAGCTTAGCTTCTGTGTCACTGACCTGCTGGAGGAAGTCAGTGAGTGGGATCTGTGCTTGGGTTTCAAAATCAGTGCTGCAGCTACACTAAGCCCTCAGGAGTAGGAACGGAGACAGTGCTCACATACATGTCTGCTTTCAGGAGCTGGTCCCTTGTGCTGATCATCCTGTTTCATTTGTCTCAAAGAAGTACATCCTGTGGTATCTCAACCCACATAGAAATAGGTAAGTACCTGGGCTTTAAAATGTTAATGGAAAGTCAATAAACCTAGCAAATTCAGGACAGAATCTGTGATATTGAGTCATTAGTTTTTCTCTTTTAGCTAAAATTTTAAAAAGTAACAAGCATTTTTTTTCTCTCTCATAGCTCTCCCCACTATCTCCAACCACATACCGGGGAAAGGAAAAAGTAAACTTTTAAAACAAATATCCATAGTCAAGCAAAACAAATTCTCATTTTGGCCATGTCCACAAATGTATGTCTCATTCTCCTTATTTAGTCTATTAACCCTCTGTTGGGAGATGGGTAGTCTTCTGCATCATGCCTCTGGAATTATGGTGGATCGTTGTGTTGATCAGAATTCTTATGTTTTTTCAATGTAATTTTTCTTTTCAATGTTGTTATAGCATGTTATCCATATTGTCCAACTTAATTCATTATGTATCAGTTCATACAAGTCTTCCCAGGTTTCTCTGAAACCATTCCCTTTATTGTTTCTTACAGCATAATAATATTCTGTTATATTTATATACTATGATTTATTTATTCTTTCATTCTTTGATTGATGGATATCCCCTTAGTTTCTAGGTTTTTGCTACCACAAAAGAACTGCTGTATTGGTAAAGCCATTTAGAATGATGCCCAGTCATTAGTGTCTAAGAGAAGACCAAAAGTTCTACTTGAGTGTAAACAAGTTACCCTTTATAACTCTCCTTCATACTTACTAGTTACTGGTTCTTGTAGACAAGTGCATGCCTAACTGAATAGTGGGTCTATTCATCTCAGTCTTGTTGCATTTTTTTTTTTTGTGAGGAAGTTGGAGTTAAGTGACTTGCCCAGAGTCACACAGCTAGTGAGTGTTATATGTCTGAGGCTGGATTTGAACTCAGGTCCTGCTGGCTCCAGGGCCAGTACTCTATCCACTGTGCCACCTAGCTGCCCCTGGGCTTTCTTATTTGTGGTAAAAGTGAACCAGATGGTTAAGTAAACATTAGATGTTATATTTACCAGACAAGGAATTTCCAAGTTAATTTTTAATTTACTGTCATGGTTTTCACAAGTGAAAGGTAGAAGAAATGGACAGAAGTATAGCATAGTGATAGAGAGGATAGGATTTGGTGGCGGAAGATACGGACTTGAATCTTGGCTTTGCTGCTTTCCAACTCTGTGGCCTTTCCTCACTTTCCTCATTTGAAGATAATAATGTTTTATAGTCATGCGAATTCCTAACGATACAAAGAGCTTAAATGCAACAACAATGTAAATATAGCATAAAAGCAAGTTAGTATGAAATGGACCTAGAAGCTGAACCCTAAAAGATAGAAGCATAGACATTTGGAGCTAAGAGAAACTCTACTTCAATCCCATCAATTTTTAGATGAAGAAACTTGGGCCCAAAGAAGTTAGCTGGATGATTCAGGGTCTATGGTTAGTTAGCAACATAGCCAGGATGCAGGTCCTTATCTTCTGACTCCCAGGCCACTTTTCTTACCAGTTTTTATATCTTATCTCTATAAGGGAGACTTGATAGTATGTAGAAAATAATACTGGCCTGGAAGTCTACAGGCCTGAGTTTACATTTATAATTCTGCTTTGGTCATAGGAAGGACCACATCAGGACCACATGGTGTTAATTTCTGATCACTTTTTTTTAATAAAAAATGTTTATTAAGCATTTAATATGTTCCAAGAACAGATGATACAGTGCATGATAATTTAAAAGGTCAGATACAGTCCCCTACTCTCATGGGTTCAGTGGATGGTATCCCATATAAACTTGTTTCCCTCTGCCTCCCACCTAAACCTGGGTTGCCCTAGCAAGTAGTGAAATTCTTCTGGTTTGGGATTCACTGAGGTCGAGTTCTGGAGAAGCCCATTAAAGGCATTCATGGTGTCCATGTAGAATTTCTGTGTATCAGGAGAGTCTGCCAGGAGACAGGTGTGCTTCTCCAGAGCTTCTACTAGGGCAGTTTGCACATTCTTTGGAAGCAAGTGAAGAGAATTTTACATTTCCTTTTAGAGTCCAGCGGCGGCCTCAGTCATGCAACAATGTGCGTGACCTGCTATCGAGTTGTGGTACAGAGTGTCCTGGATTTCTTTCTTCATCAGCACCACTGGGCGGTTGATGAGTACCTGGATGATGAACAGGGTTCACTCAGGCACTTGGGTGAACTCATAGCTGGGGGCCCCCTCAGGCTATCAAAGAGCTTATGGTCTTCTTGGAAGACAAGGCATCCACAAGACAGAATTGTGTGTTGGATTGTGTGGTATATATTTTAAATGAAGTGAAAGGTCGCATAAAGGAGATAGGATTTTAACTTTGAAGGATATACTGAATTTTATACAGTACTGTGGAGGAAAACATAGTATAACGATACAGAGAATAGGATCTGGAGGACAAATATCTGGATTTGAATCCTGGCCCTGCTACTTTCTAGTTGTGTGGCCTTTATGCCTAGGTTTCGGTTTCCTTATATAGTCAAATAAAACAACTTCATACGTTAGCCATGTCCAAAAACTTATATAATGCCATAGTCTGTACTCTTATTCTATCACCTCTCTCTAGATATGCCTTATGTTTCATTGTGAATTATGTTTTGCCATTTTGATGATCAGAGTTCCAAGGCTTTTCAAAGTAGGTTGTCTTTACAATATTGTTCATATATAAATTGTTCTCCTGGTTCTTCTTACTTCACTTTGCATTGGTTCATACAAGTCTTTGTAGGTTTCTCTGAAACCATCCCATTCATCATTTCCTATAACATTAGTATTCTTTCATGTTCATATGCTATAACTTGTTCAGCCATTCCTCACTTGATGGGCACTCCCTCAGTTCCCAGTCCTTTGCTGCCACAAAAAAAGATCTGCTAAAATATTTTTGTGCATATGGGTCCTTTTCCTGTTTCTTTGATCTCTTTAGGTGTATAGACATAGTTGGGTCAAAGACTATGCACAGTTTAATAGCTTTTTCGACATAGTTCCAAATTGTTTTTCAGAACGGCTAGATGAGATCGTAACTCCACGAACAGTGTATTGATGTGCTTGTTTTCCTATAGCTCCTCTAGCCTTTTGTCATTTTCATTTTCTGAGTCAACTTCACTAATCTCTGTGTAGGAAGTAGTACCTCAGTTGTTTTAATTTGCATTTCTCTGTTACTGATTAAGAACATTTTTTCATATGACTATGATAGTTTGAATTTCTTCCATTGAAAACTACTTATTCATATACTTGGATCATTTATCAATTGGAGGAATGGTCATTATTCTTATAAATTTGACTAAGTTCCCTGTATATCTTAGAAATGAGACATTTATCAGAGAAATTTGGTGTAAAGGTTTTCTCCCCACCTTGGGATCCTGCCTTTCTGCTAATTTTAGCTGAATTGGGTTTATTTATACAAAAATTTTTTACATTTCTCAAACTACTGTCTGTAATTGACCAACTTATCTGATTTTTAAAAATTTGTTTTAGCACACAGAGCTCTGGAATTTTTCAGCCAACAAGATGGCACTATTAACTACAAAGAGGTATAACTCTTTTTCTTTGGTTTTATTTCTCATTAACTATACAGTGTATAGTTATAACAAATGTGAATATTTCTGGTTTAATGTCCCAGGGAATGATTTATCCTCAATGTAACATATCCAATGTACACTCTATATTAACAAATAACTCAAACGATGTAGTATTTTAACAAAACCAAAATGAAATGTAAGGTAAGGCAACATCTGAAGTAGCATCTTCAAAGAACTTGGGCATTTTCCATAAGGGTATGGAAAGGGAAACTTTAATGCTTGAATTGGTCAAAATGTGGGTAATTTTTTAACTTAAGGGAAACTTGCTCCATTATTTGTTCACAAATAAGTTTGAGAAAAATTTCATCATTATTAGGGTAAAGATGTATTTACTCAGAGATATGAATATGAGTCCCTTTTGTCAGAAGATTTTGTCTTCTGACTATATTCTTGATCAATTCAAGTCACCAGATAAAACCATATCATTCGATGCTGAAAGAGGTAATGGGTGTTGAGTTATTTGTGGGTTACCGTTGGAAGATTATGAATAATGGGAAAGGTGTTAGAGAATTGAAGAAGGGTATTATTGAACTGAAAATTGTCCCAAATTTTTTTTTTTTTAAAGGAAAGAGAATGGAATCTGTAAACTATAGTCCAATAAATTTGATTTTAATTTCTGGCAAAATTCCAAAATGTATTATTCAAGGGATAGCTGGTGAATACTTAGAAAAGAAAGCAATCATAAAAGAAAGTCATCATAAGGATGACTTCTTCAAAAATGGGTCTTGCCAGATTAATTTATTTCCTTTTTTGACAGGATAACAAGACTAGTAGACTCAGGAGAATTCTATATATATAACTTAGATAGATTTTTAGCAAAAACATTTAGATTTTCATACTATCCTTATGAATAAGCTGGAGAGCTTATTGCATTATTACATTAGAGGGATTCAGAAATGGTTGAGTAACCATATGCAAAGAGAAGTCATTGATGAGTCATTATTAATCCAATGACAGGTCTCTAATGGAATGCCTCAAGGATTTGTCCTTGGTTAAATTTTTTTTTTATCATTATCTTAAATAAAGACAAAAGTGGCATACTAAAAAGCAGTTGGTCTGAAAAGATCTGGGGCTGTTAGTGGACTGCAAAATCAATATGAGTCAATAGAGCAATATGGCCGTCAAAAGAACTTTGCTACTTGAACAGGGACATAGCATATAGAATAAGGGCAATCTTACTCCCAATATACTCTGCATTGGCCAGAACCTGTTTAGAATATCATGGTCAGTTCTGGGCATTTTAAGAAGGACATTAATAAACTGGAGAATACCAGAGGAGAGTAACTTAAGTAGGAGAGTCAAGAGCCTTGACACCATGCCATATGATTAGTTGAAGGGGCCAGGTCAGAACTGGGAGCAATGGCTGCGAACTTCAGAAAGCAAGTTTCTCCATAGTGTAAGGAAAAGTTACTAACAATTGTTAGTTACTAACAAAAGTAACTAAAATTAGTTACTAACAATTAGAGCTATCTGCAAACTGGATGACCACCTGTCAGGGACTTCTTAGAAAGAATTCTTATTCAGGTATAGGTTGGAGTAGATGGATTCTGATGGTGTTTTGAACTCAGAGCTTTATTTATGACCAAGATGGTTCAGAAATATTCGCAATTGATTATTTGAAATACTTATATGCCATCAGAACAGTAGTGACTTGTTAGAGGTCAACCTAGAAAATGGGATGATCTGGCAGTTGAAACCTACTATATCCCCAATAGCATTTATACTTTAATTTCACCTTACGTGTTCAAGAAATAAAATGAACAGACCTAAATTTTACCTTTTATTTTTCTAGAGCAGAGGTTTTTTGCCTCACAAAGGTACAGATTGTTTTTACCCATTATTACATTACAATCAATTCTCTCTTTTTAAGGGTTGGCAGTCTTGTTTATCAATTATAACACATATGACTTTTTTCTGCTTCTTATTCTCCTTACTGATTTCTGCCTTTTAGACACTATATTATTCATGAGTGCCTTTCCTATAGGGCAGACAGAGAAAATGAAACAGAGAAAAGAATCAGTGAAGTTTACCACTTTTTAGTAACTGATAACACCCATTAGGATAAAAAGGTCATTGTCTCCAATGAGGTTTTTGAATTTTCTATAAATTTAATTTATTTATACTGTCCCTGTCCTTGATTACTCTCAGACAGTTGGCAGTTGACTGCACATGTATCTGGCTGGCATTTGACTTTTGTTCTCTGATTCTGACATTTCCCTGCTTCTCTAGCTGTTATTAGAACACCAGGATGCTTATCAGGCTGGGAGTGTGTTTCCTGATGCTTTTTATCCTAACATCTGTAAAGGAGGTGAGTGAAAGGGAACCTAGTGAAATGTCATGTTTATCTAGTCGAGAAGCGATGGCCTGACTTTGGAAATAGAGTCACTCCTCGTCTTTGAAGGACTGTTGGGGAATCAATGAACTATTCCAATTTAATAAATTAGCAAGGTAACTGAAGTGTATCTCTTTAAGCACTAAAACTTCATAAAAAAATGTAATCATGTGATGGAAATCCTTCTTAATTGTCTCTAGTATTTTGTTGCCCTTAGAAGCAATGAAAAGAGCCCAGTGTTTGTCAAAAGACCTGGATTCTGGGTCGTTCAAAATAAATATAGATGTCTCTTTTTTCCAACTTGTTATAAGGGGGTAAAAAGATATACAAAGTATTTTGGGATGTTTTATATGTATGTATGTATGTCTATACATATACATATATATGTAAACATATGTAATAACTCATTTTTATAGTCCTTTAAGGTTTATAAAGCATTTTCCTTGCAGCAACCCTACTGAGGTAGGTAGTATTATCTCCATTTTACAAATGAGGAAATTGGGTCTGTAAGAGGTTAAATGACTTCCCATGATCACATAGCTAGTAGGTGCCTGAGGCAGAATTTGAACCCAGGATTTTCAGACTTGCAATTTGGTTCTCTATTTTCTGCCACATTGCCTCACTAAGGAACCTTGTTGGTAGACCCAGTTGAGGTTACAATCAAATGTATATCATTCCCCTTTCATTTTTATATAACAAAATAGGACTAGAAATCTTCACAGAAAAGAGATGTGGTATAGTAGATAGAGAGCTGGTTTCAGGGAAAGAAAGATCTGGGTTCTAATCCTGCTTCTGATGTATATTGACCCTGAGTTTGTGGGCAAGTCCTTATCTCAGTGCCCCAGCCAGCTTTCTAAGACTATATAAGTTGAATAAGAGGTAGTGATCTGCATTAGTAAAGGGAAAAAGGAGACTCCTCATTCAGAATTCTCTACACCAGTAAAAAAAAAAAAAAAGCCATGGTCTAGCTTGGTTTCCTCATTTTTGAAGGGCTGTTGAGGAATCAGTGGGATATTCCAATTCAGTGAATTAACCAGGTAACTGAAATGTATCCCTTTAAGCACTAAGACTTTACAAAAAGATGTAATCATAGGATGGAAATCTTTCTTAATGGTCTTTAATATTTTGTTGCCTTTAGAAGCAGTGAAAAGAGCCCAGGACATGTCAAAAGACTTGGATTGTAGGCCATTCAGAATAGATATTGATGTCTCATCTTTCCTACCTCTTAGGAGGAAGAAAATCCAAAATACCTTAATATATTTGTTTAGTCAATTTTACCATTGAAAAAGTTCAAATAAATTTAGATTACTTTAAAGTATTTGGAGTTAAGAATGGTCTATTGGGTGGGGAAGGAATATATTTATTTGGAAATAAATATGATGAAAAAGCAAGAGGCATCAATAAAATTTTTAAATAAACCTAAAAAAATATGAAGTCCTTAATGTGGAGGTTAGTTGGCACAGTCATTACTCATTACCCAAGAGGAGGATAAATTATTTCCTATAAAAACTAAAACATTAAAATGTTAAGATGGGGGCAGCTAGGTGGCACAGTCCTCCAGCCCTGGAGTCAGGAGGACCTGAGTTCAAATTTGGCCTCAGACACATAACACTCACTAGCTGTGTGACTCTGGGCAAGTCACTTAACCCCAATTGCCTCACCAAAAAAAAAATGTTAAAATCTGCAACATATTTGTAAGTTGTTGTAGAATATTTTAAGCTTATTTCATAGCATTTTAAAGTTACAGAGCCTGGCAAGGGTTTATTTAGTCAGGGTCAATCAGGGCTGGGGAACCTGCGGCCTTGAGGCTACATGTGGCCCTCTAGGTCCTCAAGTGTGGCCCTTTGATTGTATCCAAACTTCACAGAACAAATCCCCTTAATAAAAGGAAATTGGTGACTTTCCTCTTTGGTGTTATGTCACACATGGTAGCAGATATGACTTGTGGCCTCAGGTTCCCCACCCCTAGCAAGGTCCTGACTTCAGAGAGGCAGGACTAGACCTTTAAATTATTCCAAACATTTGGCTAACTGGGTTCTGCCATCTTCCTTGGTGTTCTGAAAGAAGACGCCTAAGGTGATTGAGGGGTAGGTGGGGGAACAGTACCAAATGGAAGAAAGGAGATTTAGTTGACAAGACTGTTATCACTTGAGACTCTCAACTGAGAAGTCAAACTCTTGAAGAGCTAATCCATTTTATGTTGGCAGGAACATTCCATGATGTATCTGAAGATACTCACTGGACTCCATTTCTCAATGCAAGTATCCATTACATTCGACAAAATCATCCTCTCCCTTGGGAGAAGGTAAGAATGATCTTCAAATAGTAATAAATTTATAGGATATGCCAGTCAGTAATTTTATCCCAATGATATTTATTCCAGTACCAATTCTGAAGTAGTAAGTAATTTTTTTAAAAACACTCCCAAATGGTTTTTGATAGTTTAGGAACGAGACAGTGCCTGCCATGGGCCTTTGGATCAAGTCCTGGAAATATAAATGAAGTCGAGTTAATGATTTAAAACTCCTTACTAGATTTTAAATCCCTTGATGATAAAGTCCCTGTCTTATTTTAAATTGAATGTGATAACATATATGTATATATATATATAATATATATATGTATAGTACTTTTCAAACCTTAAATATATGAATACCATTTATTATTTATCTTTGTGTTTCCCAGAACCCAGCACAATGCTATGTACAGTTAATTAGATGTTTTGGATGGTTATATTTAATCTTTGCTACCATATGCATTTATTTTGTTATTGGGTAGGATACTGAGAAATTGGTGGCTTTCCTCTTTGGCATTATGTCACACATGGTAGCAGATGTGAGCTGGCATAGCCTGGGCATCGAACAAGGATTCTTGCAGACAATGGGAGAAGTGAGTATACATCTTAACAGCTGCTAACCCTGATATTGTTATGTGTTTGATTATCTATCTGACATCCTCCTCAACAGGCAGTGTTACTAGTACTCATGGGACAAGCTTTCCAATAAACTAAATAAACAAATGACTTATCGCTTTAGCTATTCTCACAACCTGGAGAGGAAATCATGAGCTCACCAGCGCTAAGTAACTGAGTGGTAATTCTTGCTGCTTATACAGCATTATGTATAACTATAGTGTTCTGTCATATGCTATACCTCTTGTCACTTGGGCCAGCCTAGTATGATATACAGGTGTGTGTGTGTGAGTGTGTGTACACGCGTGCTCACAAACTCACATGTGCATACATAAAGAGGCAGTGTGGCATACTGTCTAAAGAACTGATCTTTGAGTCAGGAAGACTTGGGTTCAAATTCCACCTCTGATATATTCTGGTTGTGTGACCCTAGATAAGTTATTTAATTTTTTCAGTGTTTCCAGGTAGCTTGCCAGATCTGTGTTGGTAAAAGAAGTTTTTTTCATTAGAAGTTTCTCATACCAATGAAATCACAGGTTCAATTTAACAACAAACATCCATCTATGTATGTATCTAGGGCAGGTGCTGCAGATGGGCAGCTCAGGATTTGGCTCAGGACTGAGTAGGAGGAGGTAATGTTATGTGGTTCTGAGTCCTCCATCACAGTAACCTCAGAAAGATCAATATGATGAGTAACCTAAAGGTCAATGGAGAGACCCATGGTGGATTTAAATTTGCTACAGCCAGTATAATATCCACAATGATTGCCCACAAATAGTGGTGGAAAAAACATCATCCAGGATATATACGCTTCAGAAAGGAGTTGGTTTGCTCGTATGAAGAAAGATGTTATCTGCATGCAGAGAAAGACCTGATAAATAGAAGTATGTATAGAATGATTTTACGTATATACTATTTGTGTCTAATGGTAGCCATCTCTAGTGTGGGATGGGGGGAAAGGAGGAAAAAAAAGAAATTTACAAGATAATTTTATTCTACGTTAGAAAGGAATAGCAAGTTGTACATAATAGATTTGCAGTTTCATGTGCAGTCATCTTTTTTCATTATACTATGTTATGGAAATTCTTGTTTTATTCCATAAATTAAAAATAAAATAAATTTTAAAAAAGAAAAAAAAAGGAAAAAGAAAGGAGTTGGCTTGGTTATATAATGAGAATAAGAGACAATAGAAGCCAAAGTAGTACTTTGGGATCCTCAAAAGATTAAAAGAATCTGATTAGGTGAATCCTTAGTGGATAAATTGTGGAAAAACCATAGTCAGGAGTCATACAGGATGAGAAGGATTGGAAGGGTCTTCACCAGTGGACAAGAACTTTACCCATGTGATCACAATTGCAATAGCCTGCTGGTAGGTCTGCCTGCCTCAAGTCTTCTCCCACTCTGATCCATTCTCCATTCAGCCACTGAAGTGATTTTCCTAAAACACAGATCTAGTTATGTCATCTCTCTACTCAATAAACCCCAGTGGCTTCCTATTGTATCCAGGAGCAAAGATAAAATGCTCTGTTTGGCATCCAAAACCCTTCACAACCCTAGCCCTCTCTTACCATTCTTATGCCTTTCTCTGTGCCACATGCTCTTCAATCCATTGACAAGAGCCTCCTTGGTATTCCACGAATGAGATACTCCATCTCTTAGCTTCTCTCTGGCTGACTCACATGCCTGGAATGCTCTCTTCCACTCTGACTACTAACCTCCATGGCTCCCTTTAAGTCCTAACTAAAATCCCACCTCCTACAGGAAGTCTTCCCCAACCCCTCTTAATTCCATTGCTTTCTCTCTTTTAATTATTTCCTATTTATCCTATTTATAGCTTACTTTGTATATATTCATTTGCATGTTGTCTCCCCCGTTAGATTGAAAGCTCCTTGAGGTCAATGACTATCTTTTGCTTCTTTTTGTATCCCTAGCACTTACCACAGTGCCTGGCAAATAGTGGGTGCTTAATAAATGTTTATTGATTGATTAAATATTTAAGTGTAACACCTTTGCAATATAGATACATTCATCCACAAGGGTCTAGTAACCAAAATACACTGATAACAAATATGAATATAATTTTAAAAATAGAATAGAATTGCTTGCTTCTAATCACAAATATTGTTTGAGAAGATAGATTCACATTCAGGTTGTTTATGCCCTTTTCCCTTTCCTTCCCTACCTTCAGTTGTATGTTTCAACAAAAGAGATGATAAACTACTACTTTCCATCCATTTAAAAAAAAAAACAACTATTGCAGATAAATGAGCTAACTTGAAAATAAAAATCACACCCTTACCTAATGAACTAGCTCTAAAAGTCTCCTCTGGATAAATATTGTTTCCAGGTTCATTCTTTGACATTTAAACTCGGTTATAGACTCATAGATTTAGAACTAGAAGAAATCATTTAATTGAAACCCCCTTATTGTATAGATGGGCAAACTGAGACTCAGAAATGTAAGTGACTTGCCCAAGGTAGTAAGTATTTAACAGAGACACAACTCTCTTCATTAATTTTCTCATGTATCTATATACATACAATAGGGGTGTGTGTGTGTGTGTGTGTAGGGAGAGAGAGAGAGAGAGAGAGAGAGAGAGATGTCTGTTAGCATACCTTATTGGGAAAACCAGTCTTGGCTAAAATCTGAGTCCTACCTACACAATATATTATCTATATAGCTCTACACGTATGTGTGGATGTATACATACACATATATTTTATATATATATAATAGATAAACTAAAGTAATTCACTATACAACTTAACCATTAACTTAGATGTTAATATTCCATAATAATCAAAGAGATGCCATTAATATGGTGCTTTAACGTTTGTGATGTACTTTACAAATATCTCATTTGCTCCCTACAATCCTGAGAGGTAGCTGCTACTATCTCCTTTTTACAGATGAGGAAACTGAGGCACAGAGGTTTGGTTAGAGTCACACGGCTAGTAAGTGTCTGAAACCAAATTTGAACTCAGGTCTTCCTGACTCCAAGTCCAGTGCTCTATCTATTGTGTAACAGCTGCCTCTTAAAAAAAACTTCCTTAAAAAAGAAAAATTAATACCATCTCACACCTATCAGAATGATTAATATGACAGAAAAGGAAAATGGTAAATGTTGGAGAGAATGTGGGAAAATTGGGACACTAATGCATTATTGGTAGAGTTGTGAACTGATCCGGCCATTCTGGAAAGCAATTTGGAATTATGCCCAAAGAGCTATAAAATTATGCATAACCTTTGATCCAGTGATACCACTACTAGATCTGTATCCCAAGGAGATTTTTTAAAAAGGGAGAAAGAACCTATTTGTACAAAATTATTTATAGCAGCTCTTTTTGTAGTGGCTAAGAATTGGAAATTGAAGGGATACCCATCAACTGGAAAATGGGTGAACAAGTTGTGGTATATGATTGTGATGGAATACTATTGTACTATTAGAAATGATAAGACAAGTGGTTTCAGAAAAGCCTGGAAAGACTTAAATGAACTGATAGAGAGTGAAGTGAGCAGAAACAGAATGTACCTGAAGGAGCCATGAATGACTTTAGCTATTCTCAGCAATAAAGTGATCCAAGACAATTCTGAAGGACTTCTGATGAAAAATTCTATCTGCCTCCAGAAAAAATAACTGATGAAACCCGAATGCAGATCGAAGCATACTTTTTTTAAACTTTCTTTATTTTTCTCGTTTTTTTTGGTCTGTGTTTTCTTTCACAACATAGCTAATATAGAGATGTGTTTTGCATGACTGCACATGTATAATCTAGATCAAATTGCTTGGTTCTCATCAAGGGGGGAAGAGAGAGTAGGAGGGAAGGAGAGAATTTAGAACATAAAATTTTAAAAAATGTTTAAAATTTCACATGTAATTGAAAAAATATTTCAAAATTAAAAAAAATTAACTGTATAAAAAACCAAGTCAATATATCATAAGACCTTCTGTTTACTTCATTTTGCATTTCCATCTGTCCATTGTTCTTTTGTCTGGGCTGAGTTTATTTTTTGTTTTTTGTTATGGATTATTTATACTTCACTGTTCTATTTTTCAGATTGATTTTCGTGGCTCTTACCGAGATGCTCATCCTGTTGGTGATTTTGGTAATGTTTTATTTACATTTTCCTAATTATCTTATGGTCAGCTAGGTACACAGTGGGCAGAGTGCCAGGCCTTTAGTCTGGAAGACTCATCTTCCTGAGTTCACATCTGGCCTCAGATACTTACCAGCTGTGTGACCCTGGGCAAGTCACTATTAACCCTGTTTGCCTCAGTTACTCATTTGTAAAATGAGCTGGAGAAGGAAAATGGCAAGCCATTCCCATATTTCTGCCAAGGATATCCCGAACAGGGTCACAAAGAGTTAGATGTGACAGGCAAAAATGTCTGAACAACAACAACAAATCTCAACCTTCTGAACTTCAGTTTACTCATCTATAAAATGGGCAAAATAATGTTTATTTATTTTGTTTACTTAACAAGCTTTGTGTGGAGAACTTGCCTTGTGGACTCTAAAGTGCTACAATAATGCAAGCGGTTGTTGTAAATAATAATAATAATGACAACAACAATAATCATTTTCTTATCTTTCAACTTTTCCATCAAGTAGCTGATGATGACATATAGATACACACATTTTGGAAGTTTCTATTTAAAGAAATAATTCTGATGAAACCTTTTGTAAAGTGAAAAATCTTTTGCAATGTGAGTTATCATTCCCTAATTTATTAAAAAAGTAATAATGGATCACATTTATATAGTGTTTTAGAGCCGGCCCACACAACCTGTGGCCTGTAGGCCCCTTATGGCCCATGGAAAGGCCAAAGGATTTCAGTGGCCAGGCCAAGAAATAGAGGATGCTTTCCTCTACTTTTTTTGAAGGCCTCCGAAAATCCTTAATGCAGCAAGCAGCCGGAGTGCTGGACTGCAGGCCCCATGTTGTGCCGGCCTGTTTTAGAGTTAGCTTTAGAGTCTGGAAGACTTGCCTTCAAATCCTGCCCCTGGCACTTAAGGGCAGTGTGATCCCTGCAAAACACTTAACCTCCAAGCTCTTAGGGCCCTAGGCAACTTTCTAAAGGTATAAATTGCAAAAAAGTTGCAGATCTGCTTTGTTAGAGGAAGTTTCCTGATTGGGTGTTACCTACCTTGAGGAAATTACCGGTGACTTACCAAGGTTTACGCAGTACTTTCTCACCGTGGTTCCTTTTTCTTCTTCCATTCAACATACATTTATTTGTTTTAAAATTTAAAATTTAATTTTTAAAAATTTAACCTTTTATTTTTAAAATTAGAAAAAAAGGTTTTGTTTTGTTTTGTTTTGCCATGAGTCTTTAAAAGTAAATAGTACATATGTTTCAGAGGTTGAACATCTTGCCCACAGTTAGGCAGCTAGCTTCAGAGCTGATCCTCCTGTCTTTTAAGTCCTGTGTTCACATTTCGTATAACAAATGTTTTGACCGGGGCTAAAGGAAGAAATATGCTGGATCTTCTTTCTCACTAGTTAAAGGTATACATTGAATTATTTTTCTCACACTGTAGGAGGAGATGTGTTGAGCCATTTTGAACTAGATTTTAACTACCTCGGGCGACATTGGTAAGAGCAGCGTGCGTTCAGATATTTGCTTTCTTTGTGGAATTTAGAACTGCTATAACTAGAGCTTTTCCTGCATTTTGGATTTTTGAAAAGCAAAAATTGGTGTTCATAAGAGTCCATTATTTTTCAAATACTCTGGAGAAAGACATAAGTGGAACATGACCATTGTTTTCATAAATTTGAAGGGTTATCGTGGGCAAGAGGGATTAGATTTATTTTGCTTGGCCTAGGAGGACAGCAAAAACCAATTGGGTTGAAGTCACAGAAGAACAAATTTCAGGAATATCAGGAAGAACTGTCAGGAAGAACTTAAAGAAATAAACCAATAAAGATGTCCCAGAGTGGTATGGGTTGCTTTGAAAGGTAGTGAGTGCCCTGTGTTTAGTGGATCACCACTTTTAGCAATCTATTAGAGGAAATTCATGCTTCAAGTAGGAGTGGAGCAAGATAACATCTGAGATCCTGTCTAACTCTAAAATTCTATGATTCCAACTAAAATCAAATTTGATTAATCACAATTTTTGCATTGGATGCTGGACAGACTTGAATTATGCTTTAGGATTACTCCCTACCAAGTCTAATATGGAAAAAAAAAAGTTTTCAGAATCTAACTTAAATAATGCCTTTGATTTGAAATGTAGTATAGTATTCTGTCACGGTCATATAACACACCGTGTTCAGCCATTCCCCAGTTGATGGGCATCCCTGCAAGCTTTACATAATAGATTTGCACTTTGATGTGCAATCATCTTTTTATTATATTGTGTTATGGGAAATTCTTGTTTTATTCCAGAAATTTAAAAAGTGTATGTTATATATGTATCTATATGACAAAAAAATAAAATGCAGCTTAATGAGGCAACGTGGTTTAGCAGATAGAGAGCTGTCCTCAAAGTCAGGAAGCCTTGGGTTCAAGTCACACCTCTTGACACATGCTGTCTATGTGATATTAGGCAAGTCAAAAGTACCAACTTCCATTGGTAGATGGAGTTTCCTCACTTGGGGGTTCCCCATATCAGTGAAATCACTGGTCCAATCCTCTATCTTTTTTCAATAAACTAAAAGACTAACTTTGTAGTCCTCACTACAAAATTTGTTGATTTCAACAATGACTCTAAAATTGGAATATAGGGGCATTGAGTTATTTTTTCATATGTTATTCTTAGAAACTTGTTATAACATCTCATTCCACTCAACAACTAGTAGAGAAAAAAAAAACCCATTAAGAAAACCAAGCAAAAGAGAAAATAGCCCTTGAATTCTAATCTTGCACGTGGAAAACTTCAGTTTTAGAACTTCCTAAATGTTTGTTTTACTAACATGTACTCCATCAAATATTTTGGTTGGGTTGTGTCTAACTAGGTTTTATTAATTTAAACAGAAAACCAAAATACATCTTTCCACTGATTCTAATCTGCTTCTCAGGTATGTACCTGTCAAAGACCTAATGGGAATCTACAAGCAGCTCTATGGCAAGGAAGTCATAACAAAAAATGCAATAATTGACTGTTCGTATCTTCAGTTCTTAGAATTGTAAGTTTGATACAAAGAGTTCTTTCCCAAAACTTAAAGAAAAAAAATGTGCCTGGTTTTCCGGTGGATTTTCCACAATAATATTTACAACACTTTTATGGATCTATGATCTCATATATTTGGATACTCCCTCCAGTAACGCCCATGACAATTCATCCGTGTCTGCCTATCTTGGGTAACTCCAACCCATACCTTCCTGTAAAACCCTCACAGTGGACAGGGGCTCCACCTATTATGTTAGGATGATATACTTCCTTGAAAACATTCCTAATTATCTCATTATCTTGCTAACATTTGATGTTTGGATTTTGCATATTTGTAAACAGGGTGTACTGGAACTTGTTCAAACCAGCTTATAAGAACCTAATGTTAAATTTTCAGTATAAGCATTTGTAGGCTGGAAATCATCAAACACTACCAATCAGTGCTTCATTTATAGTTTTATTGATTGTTTGGACTTAAAAAAGTGATGGAGAAAATATTAATAATGCAGATTATATTCAAAATGTACCATAGGTACATCCTCCCCCCCCAAGGTGGTTGTTAACATTTATCAGCACACTACAGTTTTTAATCCTTTAGAATGGATAGATGTATTTTGGTAGGGCTTTATTTTCAGCATTTGGTTTATATCTTTGTAGGAAACACAGCTTTCATTTCATTATAATTTATGTTACAGGTATGGTGAAATGTTGGTTCTTTCCAAGGTAATTTTCTTTATCTTTATATTACAAATATATTAACCTTTGTTAAGAGTCAGATGGATGCCAAACCAGTACCTTGTTTATTTTTCCTTTTTTTCTTGCTTTTTATATAGCTTTACCCAAATTTTGCAAAAAAGTCCCCATTTTTGGTGGAGCAGTTCCAAGATTATTTCCTTGGTGGACTGGATGACATGGCATTCTGGACCACTAATATGTTTCATCTAACAAGCTACATGTTACAGAATGGGACCAGGTGAGGCATTATTTTGTTTCTTGTGCTTTATGTTGTCTTGATCATTTTTCCCCCTAGGAATTTCAGCTAGCCCCAGGAATAAAAAAAATATACAACCATAACCTAATCTGTTAGAAAGAGGGTAGCAAGTATGAGCACTGGTTAAAGGAAGTGGGTGTGTTTAGACTGGGAAAGAGAAGACTAAAAGGTACATAGTTATTGTCTTCAAATATTTGAAAAGTTATTCTATGAAAGAAGAATTAGATTTAATTTGCTTAGCTTTAGGGGGTAGAACCAAGACCAGTGGATGGAAGTTATAGGTAAGAAAGATTGAAAATGTGCTAGACTTGAAGTCAGGAAGATCTGAATTCAAATTTTACCCTCAAGTACTTGTTAGCTGTGTGACTCTTTACCTCTCTCAGCTTCAATTTCCTTATCTGTGAAATGAGAATAATAACAACACTTCAATAGGTTGTTATGAGGATCAAATGAGATTTTTCATATATATATATCTATTGTGCTTTGCAAACTTAAAGTGCTATATCAACATTACTAGTTGCTATTGTTGTTGTTGTTATTATAAGAATGTAAATTGCAATGTAGTAAAGAGGAACTTCTTAACAGTTAAAAATGCCTCCAAATGGAATGGACTATCTTGAGAAGTAGAAGGGTCCCTTTTGTTAAGCCTAGGTGCTCTCTGTTCTGGTCAAGACTAGTCAGACATTTATCAATGTTGTAGGGCCAGTGTTCTTAACTGTTGTGCAATGGATCATATTTCTAAGTGCATTGAGGGTCTTCCCCTCCCAGATTGACTTTTTTTCTGAAGATAAACTAGGCTATCTTTTGCCTCAATTCTTACCTAGCCTTTAATTATTGAATGGGTGTTGCCTCAGACAAACTAAGATCTGGGAAAGACATTAGTTTAAAAGGGCCATGGTCTCCTACAGTATCCAGGGCCATCACTAGCCACCTTGACCTATGTCTTGCTGCTGGACTCAGATAACTCTGAAGGAGAGAGTGGGGCTGATGACTTTGCACAGCTCTGCCTCCCTTAAATCCAGTTCACTGACAAGTCAAAACATTACCCTCCTGAAATCATTGGTCCTCTTCAAGAATGAAAGATGAACAACAACAAATGCATCACAAAGGAAACCAATTATATTAAAACATAATTACCAGAATTTTAAAAATTCCAAGTTCACAGGCTCTCTATATCTATCCACAGATGGCTTGAATGGTCTGTGGACCCCATGTTGAGAATCCTCATTGTAGAGGAAATTCATGCTTGAGGAAGAGGTAGGACTAAAAGACCTCTAAGGTTTATCCCAAGCTCTAAACTTCTAGTCTCAGGAAGACTAGTTGGAATCTCTGGTCATATTTACCTTCATTTTTCACTTCAAGGTTAGAAAAATAATGCAGTCTCTTCATCAGGGTCTGCAAGGGAACAATGGCTCAGTTAAGAAGAGACCAACATCCACAGCTTTGACCTTGTTTCTTTCCCTTTTTGGGTTTCTGCACTCAGTCTACCCTAGATCTCTCAACTCTGACCAGGCTTTGGAATTGGTCTTATCCAACTTCCACCACCCTACTTACTAGCTTAACTAGGATGTGGGAAAATCCTCTTTTCTTCTTATTTAACTGAGACACAGGGCTGAGATTACATAGTACAGTTTGCTGCTCCTGACTTAACTAAAGGCCAGACTTAAAGTTTTATAGCAGGTGAGTTCACTAGTAGGTACTTAGCCCCAGGTTCTTTTCCCTTTTTGTTGTCGTTCAATTGTTGTAGTTGTACCGACTCTTTGTGACCCCATTTGGAATTTTCTTGGCAGAGTTAATGAAGTGGTTTACCATTTCCTTCTCCAGCTCATTTTACAGATGAGGAAACTGAGGCAGACAGGGTTAAGTGACTTGCCCAGGGTCACATAGCTAGTAAGTGTATGAGGCCAGATTTGAATTCAGGTCTTCCTGACTCTAGGCCTAGCACTCTATCCATTGTGCCACCTAGCTGCTCTTACCACAATCTATTCTGGGCTGGATTAAACATTGCTGCATAAAAGTTCCAGCATAAGAAGATTTGGCTTGTCCTTGTCTTTGGTCTACTTGTAGGTCAAGGGAGGCCTTTAATTCCTTCCTGTTCTAGTGGCAGTTCTCTGTCTGGTGCAATGAATCACTCAGAGCCTGAGGATTCAAATAATTAATGTGTGTGTATATATATATATATAGATATATCTCTATATATATAATGTATATATACATATATAGATATATATGCGTATACATGTATATATACATATATACACATACATGCATATATGTATATGTTGTATTGTATATACATATATAGCATATATATATTTATACACACACATACATATACAACACACCCTACCCCCCAGGTAAAAGCAATTCCCAAAGTGGTTAAAAAGCAGTTTAAAAGCGAGTAAATAAAAGCCACCAGAAAGGAAGTTGGCAAGGAGGTTCCTTGGAGTCTTAGGAGCTCTCCGGCAAAAGTCCTAAAACCCCACTTCTGAATTCTTCATGCCCAAAGGTCGCCCCACCCCACCCCACTGAGTCCCAGATTGGTCTTCCTGGGACCATAGTTAATTCAAACTGCCCCATATCTGCTCCACAGCTTCTTTAATGACAACATTCTAGCTGTGTTGTAGGAATATGGGGGTGTAACCCACAGCTTACTAGTGGAACTAGGCTCTCAGCCCACAACGTTTTAGAAGCTGCTTCCCAGTTACTCCAGGTATAGACCCTTCGGGTCATCCCCTCTAGCACCAGGGATTGCTTCTTTTTGTCAGTTAACCTGGTACTATTGCTCCTTTTTCTCCATTCCCACCTCCAGTTCTGAGGAAATCACTTCCCTATATGGTCCCAAAGATTTTTGTGCTCTATTTCAGCCTATCCTCTATTAACCTTGTCATCATCTCTTTGTCTTTCTGAAAGTCACTGTGGTTCTGGGTTCCTGGAGTTCTGCCCCTGGCTCTTTTCTTCTGACCTGATCAGTTGACTTAAATGTATTCAATAGATAGGAGCACCTCCCCTGGAGCTACCACACTCTCCACCCTGATTCAAACTAGTCTGTTAGGTCCCCACAGGGGACTGCTGCTGTAGTGAGAAAATCGAATTGACTCTGACTTCATTTTGTACTTGATTCTATTCTGCATCATCCCCCAACATGTTGTAAAATTGCCTAAACCGTGTTTCTTTGTCTCTAAGTTCAGTTCAGAAGTTCAGCTTTGCTTTCTGAGCTAAGTTGTCCCATAGATCACCTTAATTCAGAGAAATATGTTGTCTCTACACATCTTACTGCCCATGTACAATTAAGGGAGATCTGCAAGATGCAGGTGGGCACCAGAAAGTCTGTTATCTCTGCCATGCTGGTTGTCCTTCAAACTCTCTTCAAAGATTTAAATCAGGAGTTCAAAGCAAAGGCATTTACTTTCATGGCATAGCATGAACAGTAGTAGCAAAACGTTCTTCCCGTAAAACCAGAAATGCCGTTTTTCACCGATACATACAGAAATAGTGGGAAGAATGGCAAATATATGGATCCTACACTTTGAAAACAGTTACTAAGCTAAATCTTTGAAGAGAATTTGAAGTACTTAATGTAAATAATTGAAAGTGAAGTATGTTTCAGAAGATGATAGGAAAAAACTTCACCTCCTTTTGCATACTTCTACAGTGACTGTACCCTACCTGAGAATCCTCTGTTCATGGCATGTGGTCCCAAACATAATGGCAGCCTTCGGTAAGTGGTATGAATCCTGATGTTTTCATTTAATAGCCTTTGTGATCACTCATAAGATCAGAGATTTAGAGCTAGAAGGGCCTCTGATACTCAGAAAAGACATCCTATTTGCAATCTGTGCATCTTGCAATGGAAGATGTTTACCCAACTGATTCTTACTGATTGGATTTTTCTGTTGTATCCTAAGGAGTACATGCCAGAGGCAAATTTTGATCACTGTGGTCCCTGAAATTATATTGCATCTAAGTGATATATTGTTGTGTCCCACGGAATTGTAATCTAAATACCCATTGTGACAGCCCTTAGCAGGGGGAGTTTGAAATTCAGTTTTACCCTTTTAGTATGTGTCAGAGACATCCAGAATTTAACTAATGGTGTTTTCGGAGCTTTGACATAATTCTTTTCACTTGAGAGTCTGGATTATCATAGGATTATAGATACAGAACTGGAAGGAAACTCAAGAGGGCATCTTGTCCAATCTCTTTATTTTACAGAGTAGGAAACTGAGGCCCAGGGAGGTTAAGTGACATGTTGAAAGTCACAGAGATATTAAAGTGGGATCTAAGCATATGGCCTCTGACTTCAAAGACTTTCCACTGTACTAAAGTGTAGAAAACAAATAAAGATAGGAGATAAGAGGACTTGACTGAAAAGAGGAGCTAAAAAAGAAAATAAGTATTGATTAAAGGAAGAACAGGTCAAAGATCATGCTTTTCCTTCTAATCTTGTCCTTTTATGCCAACAATGAATTGAAAGACAAATTTCCTTCTTTTTTGTTCACTTGCTTTATCCCAGGACAGAAAGAGCATTGTGTTTCCTAGTGAGAAGACTGTGATAATTGTTAACCTTCACATTTTCTAGTTAACACCAACATGTTACTTTTTTTTCTCTCCCCCTTTTCAAGGAGAATCTTTTACCCTCCTTAGCTGATAATGAATGGTAATGATAGAGAATCTCTATCTCTGATTTCGTGCAGTTTAGAAATATGGATTGGGATAAACATTTGAATTAGAAAATACTTAACTTTTTTCTTATAAATGAGAACTTGTCAAGTCTGCAAGGGATAAAATAGTATGTATGATGGCAAATTTGCATTTCAACCCCTTTTTTTTTTTGGTCAAATACAGACAAATCTTTAACTCCTAATGATCCAGAAGGAACTCATTGAACACTTAAAATTCTGATACTCTGGAAAATATATTGAAACTGGAAGTTTTTTGTGTTATCAGGAGGCCTTGTGGAAGTATTGTGGTACACACAACATGGAAAAGAGAATCAGGAATTTTTGTCCCAATCCAGCAGCCAACTAGCTGTGTTGTTGTGGGCAAATTACTTCTCTGGGGTGTAGTTACTCTATGTACAAAATTTTGTTGTATTCATTCAGTTGTTTCCAACTCTTCATGGACCATACTGTCCATAAGTTGTTGTGTGTGTGTGTTTTTTGTTTTTTGGTTTTTTTTGGTAAAGGCGCTGGAGTGGTTTGCTATTTCCTTCCCCATGAATTAAGGCAAACAGAGGTTAAGTGACTTGCCCAAGATCACACAGCTAGTAAGATTTGAACTCAGGTCTTCCTGACTCCAGACCCAGCGTTCTATCCACTGCATCATATAGCTGCTCCATGTACAAAACAGGAAACGTGGATTAGAGGATCTCTAAGATCCCTTCGAGCGCTAAGTTCTGTAATTTCTTTTGTGGAGCTCTTGGCATTCAAATCCCGCTTTTGTCATTTGTCTGTAAGACCTCATGCAGGTCATGTCTTCTTCCCAGGTCACAGTTTTCTCATCTGTAAGGGAAGGGGGTGGGGCTGGATGGCCTCTGAGATCCCTTTCAGCCCCAAATTCATGATGCTATGATCCTATAAACCCAGAAGGATGACTAGAAGATCCATCCTGTTATGCTGCCTTCAGGCTCTAAGGTCTTGGAATACATGACCATGTCATCTATTCTTTGGCCCACTTACTCAAGATATTTTATTTCTTAATCAATGTGGTTTTCTGAGGCTTATCGTTTGTAACTGATTCTTCTTGACAGAACAAAACTGCCGAAAAATAAAAGTCACGCAACTTTAAATGTATCCTTAGCTGAAAATGTTAAAGGAAATATAAATTACACAGAAAGAGGCGTCTTCTTCAGTGTGGATTCATGGGCCCAAGTAAGAATTTCTCTCTAAATAAATTGAAATAAATAAATTGAAACTTTAGAACTGTGGCTTGCTACCTATGGATTGAAGACCCTTAACTGAAGCACAAGAGCTATTATTGCAAGAGGTCTACAGATCCCTGTACCCACCATACCTTATCATTTTTACCTTGATTTTATTTGAATACATATATATATGTGTGATATATATATATATATATATATATATATATCCGTTTCAATATCTATCTGTTTATATACTGTTTTTCAAATGTGTATAGATGCTGTTGGCTATTAATAAATAAGTTTTTATTTTGTTACAAACTTATATTTTATTCATTGTGATTACATTAATTAATTGTAATTACAAACTTGTATTTTATTAATAACCAGTACCATCTACATACACTTGAATTTGAATTCATAAAATTTCATTTATTTTCTCAACTAATAGATACTAGGAGTAAGGGTACTCGTAGTAAAAAATGTTCCTCGAGGATGAACCTGGGGCTCCTGGAGGTCCAAGATAGATAGAAGCAACCCTGGTTTGCTTCTATCCAATCCAGCCCTGGATAGGTCTCAATATAATGCCAGTCAGTAGTACTTATTGAGGGTTCACTGTGTGCCCTGTCTTAAGGGGAATGATGAGGAGATAGAAAGGAAGTAGAAAATATAGTTTCTATTTTCAGACAGTTTTCAAATATGGTCTACCCTAAGATAAGTTTTTTCACCTACTCTGTGAAACTTTTCTTTGATTCCTCCTAAATTCTTTTTTTTGTTTGTTTTTTTTGTTTTGTTTTTTTTATTTGTTTTGATTCCTCCCAAATTCTAAGCTGAAAATATTCTTTGTTTCTTCAAATCTTCCTAAAGATCTTTACTTACCATCATACACTCACCATTATCCCTATCATACTCTGTATGTTGCACTATATTCATTCATGAACATATTTACACCCCAAGGCAATGTAAACTTCTTGAGACGTGCAGACACTGCGTTCTCTTTTATTTTTATCTTCCCAATGCCTGACACTTAACGTAAAAATATTTGTTGCTATGCTCACAAGAACAGCAGCACTTGTGTATTGGAGAACACTTTCTTTTGGGTATACCCATGCCAGAGAGGTCTTGGGGCCTTTGTAGTAGTAGAGGGCTTACAAAGTACTTTTTTCACTACAAATGCAAAGTATTATTTAAAAGATGAAGTCATGAGGCTGAGAGGTAGAATATATTTGCCCACAGTCTTACACCCCTAAGTGTTGGATTTGGAATGTGAACCTGAGACCCTCCTAACTCCAATTTCAGACTTGGAGTCAGTTTAGAGCTAACTAGTAGTATTTATGGATGTGTACATGTGCGCTCTGTGTACGTGCGCCCTATCAATCAGTTAGTCAACACCCACTTATGAAGTGCTTACTATAAGCCAGGTTAAAAGCTGGGGATACAATGAAAGGGAAAAAAACAGACTCTGCCCTCAGGGAGCATACATTCTAGTGAAGGAGACAACTTGTTAATTATTAAGTACATTCAAGTTATATATGGAGTGATGGAAGATGATCTGAAAGTGGAAGGCATTAGTAGTGGGAATGACTAGGGAAAGGCCTCTTAAAAAAAGTGGGATTTGAGCTGAGTCTTAAAGAAAGCCGTGAAACTGAGAGGCAGAGGTGAGGGGGCAGAGCACATCAGGGATGGGGGAATCAGGGTGTGAGAAGTCAGTGCAAAGACATGGGGATGGGACGTGGAGTATCATGTTGGAGGAACAACAGCTAGGCCAGGTGGAGCTGGATTGTAGAATGCATAGAGGGGACTAAGGTAAGGTATTACCTTATCTTCCTTTGTAATATGGGAAAAGTGGTATGATGAGAATTTCTAACTCAGGCATTCTGTTGCCACTTGCTAAGATAAGGGAAAGACTGTGATGGGAAGAGGACACTGCCCCAGTCTGTTTTGAGCTTCCAAACATAGTTTCTGGAAACTAGAAGGTCATGCTGCCTTCAGAATCAGGGTTGGGAGATAAGCCACAGCTCTAGTTTGGACCAGGTGGCAGATAGCCTTATCTTCCTTCTGTTACTTGTTTCTAGAACTTCCTTATTTTCCCCTCCTGCTTTCTGTGAAATTCCATTTTTTCTTTTCTGCTCATGTATTCAAAATCTATATAAGATGCTGAAACTGATTATCTGGGCTTATTCACTTTTGTATACAATCAATTGAGCCTGCACTCTGAGCAAAATAAAACTGTATTTCACTATCTCTGCATCATTGATTTGATGATTGACAGCAGTATCTAATCAATGGACTCTCAGATAATATTTATCTCTGTAGTATGGAGCCAAGTTATAAAGAACTTTAAATGACAAACAGAGGAGTTTACATTTGATCCTAGAGATAATGGGAAGCCATTTGAGATCATTGATCAGGTTGAGTGATATAGCCAGATCTATACTTTAGAGAAATCACCATGATAGCTGAGTTGGGGGTGGATTGGAGTGGCAAGGAAACTAGTTGAAAGGTTATTGCAGTGGTCCAGGTCACAGGTGATGAGGGCTTGAACTAGGGTCATGACTGTATGAGTGAAAGAAGAGGATATATACAGGAGATGTTGTGGAGGTAAAAATGACAAGATTTGGCAGTGGATTGGATATATGTGTTGACTAACAGTGAGAAATCGAGTATGACACTGAAGTTTCAGGCTTAGGTAACTGGGAAAATAGTGGTACCCTTGACAGTGATAGGGAAGTTTGGAAAGGTGGAGGATTTTGGGCTAAAGATAATGAATTCTGTTTTCAACATGTTGAATTTCAGATGTCTATGGGATGTTCAGTTAGAGATATCAAAGTGGCAGGTAGAGATTTGTGACTTGTTCAGCAGAGAGACAAGGGCTGTGTATATGTAGAACTGGGAATCATCTGTCCCCAGGGGAACAGTGGGGAAATAAAAATGAAGTGCAAGCTATGGTCCCTTCTTTCAATTGCTTTTAAAAAATGCTCCCTGGATGGCTAGGTTTGTTCCATGGCTGATGGAAAAACTGGAACCTGTTTCTGATCTCTAATGGTTTAGTATGAGGAGGCACAAAAATGGATTTGGCTTTCTGTTATGACTTTGCACAAGTTATTTAACCTCTCAGATTCCATTCTCTTATCTGTAAAAGGAAGGGAATGGATTAGATGAAGTCTAAGGCCTCTTCTATCCCTACCTATGCATCCTTATGATCTGTGCTTATGTTCTTCCCTGCCGAACATTCTGTGTTACCTTACTAGAATCTCTTTGTTGCTGGAATCATGAAGATGGAGCAAATGTATTTCAGTCAGATGTCATAGATCTCTGACACCACTGAATGTATACCACTCCTTGTAGTTTGTGAATTTATTATCTTGTGTTAATGTTTTTCATTAATACCAGTTCAATGGTTTTAAAATATATGTGTATGTATGTATGTCACAAGGCTGAACGATCCATGGAAAATCCATTCCAGGGAAGCTTTGGATTATATATCTCTTTGTGTGTTCAAGATTTGTTTGACATATTCACTGGAACTTTTTGTTTAGTTTTGTTTTAAAAGAAAACAAAATCATCTTTGATTCAATTCCATGTTCTATGAAAAAAATAATTTTGAGGTCAGTTTTATTGGGAGTTTAGAAAATTAGTCATTCATTCTGGTCTGGGGTACATGATTTGGTTCAAGTCAGGTCCCTCCTTACTTTTTTTTTTCTATTTGCTATACATTTCTGTGACTGTCTCTTCTGCATACCTGCATGTAGTGGTCCAACTTGTATTCACCTGTCCTCAGTGAATATACTTAATCATGCACATAAAAGTATGTAGTATCTGTAAAACATCTTTCCTTCAAACAGATTAGTGATTTTGGCAGATGTACATTTATATATCTGGATTTCCATATAGTGTATTGAAAAGAACACTGGACTTAGAGTCAGGAATCTTGGGTTTGAATCCTGGTTCTGATATTTACTTGTTATGTGACTTTTATCAAATCACTTTCTCTAAGAGTCAGTTATTATTCCCTCATTCCCCTTAATTAGTCTACAATGGCTTCCTATTGATGAATTGATATCCCCCTCTCACCTACCTCACATGGTTGTTCAGAGGAAGATACTTTGTCAAACCTAAAGGATTCTAGAAATGTGAGCTGCTGTGATTATAGGGATTCACATGTGTGTCTGTAATCATGGTTAATATGTAATGATTCTTTTCTTTTAGGATTCAGTCTCCTTTCTCTACCTGACTTTGACAAAGAAGATAAGGAAAGTGTTTGCAAGTGAACAGTCTCACCAACAGAATTATGTCACCAATCCCATAGCATCTTACTTCCTGTCATTTCCCTATGTGAAGCTTGGATGGTAGGTTGGGTTTATTTTGTCTGAAATTATTTCAATGTCATTAACTCTTTATTTGGTTCTGAAAATTAAAAAAAAAATTCATGAGCCACCAAGCCCTTTGGCTTTAGGCTATAAAGCCATTTAATTATAACACAGTTAAGACAGGAATCAGTTTGTCTTCATTGTTTACTGCACATGTAAAATGAGTTGTCCCATTCAATGGAAGATAATTCCAAATAAAAATTCCTGATTATGTTAGCAGCCACAGAAAGATGCAGTCCTCAGTCTGAGAAACACTTTCTTTGTATCAGGACTTAGGTACATGAAGATGTCAGTATCCATCCTTAGATCTCCCAGTTGTCTTGAGCAATGTTGTTTTCTTTTTTATTAACTGAATAAGGTTAGGTTTTTGCATGATTTCTCTCAGCCCCAGGCTTGTGATTCAGATACTATTCTATAGTAAAAAGGGGGCTATCACCGAGAACTTGGAGGTCGTTTCTTTGTGAAGAGGTTGCTTGTTTGCAGCTCTTTGGTATTTTGATTTCATCAATTCCTTGGAGGTCCAGTGTGATATGTGTTAGCTTAGCACAGTGCCTGGAACATAGTAAGTGCTTAATAAATGTTTATTGACTGACTGTATGTGTGTGTATGTGGGAGGGGGGATATCTGTGAACTTAAAAAATTTGAAATATGTACATATAGATATGTTATGTTTCTCTATACTTGATTGCCTTTGTAATGCTGTTCATTTAATTTTATTAATTTAAAAATATTATTCAGTGAAAGAATCTGTAGATTTTGCCAGACTGCCAAAGGGATCCATCCATGACACAAAAAAGGTTAAGAATCCTTGTTTTAGAGTGAGCAGGACTTAGATTGATAAATATTTTGAAGCTCTCCAAACTAGCCACCATGATATTGATACTAATTGCTTTAGGGCAGTATATGAACCTAGCTCTTCCTTACTCTAAGGGCAGCCCTTTAAACGCTAGGCTTTATCAGGTAAGGAGGCTTGAAAGAAGTCTGCAAGAGGAAAGATACAAGGAAGAAAGTGTTTTGTCCAAATCAAATATTTCCTGTGATGTAACTGATAATCTCTTTTGATGTACAGGTCAATGATTTCAGTCGACCTCAATCAGGATGGCCATGAGGATCTGGTGGTAGGAGCACCAGGTTATAGCAGATCAGGCCACATTCAGGTGGGACGAGTGTATCTCCTCTACAGCAACGATATAGGTTTGCCTCCTGTAGACTTGGATTTGGACAAAGAAGCACATCTAATTCTAGAGGGCTTTCAGGTGTGGTTCTAACTCAGTATTTTTTCTTTAAAAACATGTTGCATGTGCTTTGTTGAATGATAAATCATTGCCTAAAGCCTATGATCCTGTTAGCATGTGATCCTAGTTTTGGCAAACTTCTCAGCATTCTTTAAATGTCTTAATTGCTTAAATGGAGTGCAATGTATATAGGTAATGAAAAAAATCACTGTGTTTTAAGAGGTAGTATGGCAAAAGCAAAAAAAAAGTTTTAAAACAAATGTCTTCATTGAAGAACTAAAATGGAGACTCTGCCAGAAGCCCACCTCCAAACAGCTTAAGTCTTTTTTTTTTTTTTTGCTTTTTGGTGGGGCAGTCGGGGTTAAGTGACTTGCCCAGGGTCACATAGCTAGTACATGTCAAGTGTCTGAAGCTAGATTTGAACCCAGGTCCTTCTGATTCCAAGGCCAGAGCTCTATCCATTGTGCCACCCAGCTGCCCCAAAACAGCTTAAGTCTTAATTCTTGTCAAGGCACTAGCTAGTGTAAGGCAACTAGAGCTTTTCCCCAGGGTAATGAAGTTTAGAAGGAGCAGATAACATTTTTATTCATCCAAGAGGTGGAAACAAGGGGCTTAATACCTCATTAGCAAGAATATTGGGTTAAAGTAGGAAATTTAACAGATGGTGTGCTCTTGCCCTCTCCTTTCTTATACATGGCCATACTCTGGGTCAGTGATTCTCAAAGTATTGTCCAGGACCACTTTGGGTCCCCGAAACCCTTTCAGATAGTTTGCAGAAGGTCCAAAATTACTTTTATAATACCAAGATGTTTTAGTGTTCCAATACAGTAAATATTGATAGACATAATCCACATAAATAAAATCTCTTTCGGGAGGGGTTCTGAATTAATTTTTAAGAATATAAAGGTGTCGGCAGAGCCAAGATGGTGGAGTAAAAGCAGTGACTTGCTTGAGCTCTCCCCCAAATCCCTCCAAATACCTATAAAAAATGGCTCTAAACAAATTCTAAAGCAGCAGAACCCACAAAAAGACAGAGTGAAACAAATTTCCAGCCAAAGACAGCCTGGATGGTTGATCAGAAAGGTATATCGCACCAGGCAGGGAGATGAACGCAGTTTGGCTTGGGCGTGCAGGCCACAGCGAACCTGAAACAGGCCTCAGAGGACTGAATCGCGGGCAGCTGTGGTGGTTTCCAGACTTCTCAACCCACGAAGGTCAAAGACAACTTAGAAGGTCAGGGAAAAGTCTGCTTCTACGGTGGTGAGAGAGGAGTGCGGGGTCCCAGCTCCATTCCTTGGGGCGGCAGCTGCTTCCTGAGCTTCCAGCCCACAGACTGAGGGGGAATCGAGTGGCTGATCAGAGGGGGATTGCAGGGATCTCTCTGCTGGTGCAGGATTCTCTTGCTTTACCCGTGCTTGGATCTGGGTCACAGTTCTGGGTAACAGTCCTGGGGCAAGGAGGAGCTCTGGCGTTGTGGAGTTTGTAGTGGCTGTGGAGAGGAAACCCTCCTCACAGTCCCAAGACAGAAGAGAGTGCTCATAGACTAGAGCACAGGCCAGGAAAGGAGTAAACACTCGCCCTTGATAATAGCACCTTGGAAAAACTGAAAATTTATAGGTCCCTAGAAGTATCTCTGAAAACAGCTGCACAAAACTCCTGAAGCTTGGGACAGTACATTCTCCACACTTGAAACAGACTCCTATCTTAACAAAGAGTCTATAACTCAAATAATTGACTCAGATCATGAGCAAGCAGTGCAAAAAGAGTTAGACTGTATTTTCTTGCTTTGATGACAAAGAAGATAAAAACATACAACCAGAAGAAGACAATGAAGCCAAAGCTACATCCAAAGCCTCCAAAAAAAATATGAATTGGTCCCAGGTCATGGAAGAACTCAAAAAGGATTTTGAGAAGCGAGTAAGAAAAGTAGAGGAAAAAGTGAGAGTGATGCTAAAGGAGACCCAAAAAAATACTGAAGAAAATAACACCTTAAAAAATAGCCTAACCCAAATGGCAAAAGAGGTCCAAAAAGCCAATGAGGAGAAGAATACTCTAAAAAGCAAAACTGGCTAAATGGAAAAGGAAGTCCAAAAGCTTACTGAAGAAAATACTTCCTTAAAAATTAGAATGGAGAAATTGGAAACTAGGGACAATTTGAGAAATCAAAGCACTGTAACACTAATCCAAAGGAATGAAAAAATAGAAGAGAATATGAAATATCTCATTGGAAAAACAACTGACCTAGAAAATAGATCCAGGAGAGAGAATTTAAAAATTATTGAACTATCTGAAAGCCATGATCAAAAAAAGAGCCTAGACATCATCTTTCAAGAAATTATCAAGGAAAACTGCCGGCAAAATAGAAATTGAAAGAATCCACCAATCACCTCCTGAAAGAGATCCCCAAAGGAAAACTTCTAGGAATATTGTAGCCAAATTCCAGAATTCCCAGGTCAAGGAGAAGATATTGCAAGCAACCAGAAGGAAATAATTCAAGTATTGTGGAAACACAATCAGGATAACACAAGATTTGGCAGCTTCTACATTAAGGGTCCGGAGGGCATGGAGTATGATATTCCAGAGGACAAAGGAGTTAGGACCACAACCTAGAATCACCTACCCAGCAAAACTGAGTATAATCTTTCAAGGTAAAAAATGGTCATTCAATGAATTAGGGGACTTTCAAGCATTCCTGTGGAAAAGACCAGAGCTAAATAAAAAATTTGACCTTCAAATACAAGACTCAAATGAAACATGGAAGAGGTAAACAGGAAAGAGAAATCTTAAGAGACTTATTAAGGTTGAACTGTTTACATTCCTGCAGGGAAAGATGATATTTGTAACTCATGAGTCCTTTGTCAGTATTAGGGTAGTGGGAGGGAAAAAAATAATATGTATGTATAGATAGATAGATAGAGGGTGAGTTGAAGATGAAGGGGTGATATCTGGAAAATAAAATTAAGGAGTGAGAGAGGATTATACTGGGAGAAGGAGAAAGGGAGAAGTAGAATGAGGTAAATTATCTCACATGAAACAGACAAGAAAAGGCTTTTACAGTGGAGGGGAAATGGGGGAAGGTGAAAGATAGTGAGTGAATCTTATTCTCATAGGATTTGACTTAAGGAGGGAATAACATACACAATGGGGTATGGAAATCTATTTTACCCTACAGGAAAATAAGGGGGGAAGGGGACAAGAGAGCAGGGGGTTGATAGAGGGGAGGGCAGATTGGGGGAGGGGATAATCAAAAGCAAACACTTCTGAGGAGGGACAGGGTCAAAAGAGAGAATAGAATAAATGGGGGGGTAGGATAAGATGAAGGGAAATATACTTAGTTTTTCACAACAGGACTACTATGGAAGTATTTTGCGTGACTACACATCTATAACCTATACCAAGATGCTTGCCTTTTCAATGAGGGTAGGTGGGGAGGGAGGAAGGGAGAAAATTTGTAACCCAAAGTTTTAAAAACACATGTTAAAAATAAAAAAATTAAAAATTAAAAAAAAAAGAATATTAAGGTGTCCTAAGACCAAAAAGTTTGCTCTTGGCTATACTCTTTCCCTACTCTGGCAGCAGTCTCCCTAGTATTGACTTCCAAATTTCCTGGGGTTCCTCTAATTTAACTGAATTGATTTTTAAAAGTTGATTTAAAAGGGCAACTTGTTTTCTGTATGTTTTGGACACATCTCACGTTACTTGCCTTACGGCCCCAGATTTGCTGGTTAGGGCTCTGGCCCTTATAACTCCTGTAAGAAAGGACAGTGGTAATTTATTTGCAGAAAAATGGCAAGTGTTAATTGACTTATACAAGGTCACTTAAGGCAACCTGTTAGTTAATGACATTTATTGAGTTTTCCCTATTGGACAACAATTATAAGTACGTTATGGTATGGAAAATTGTATTGAGTCAGGTAAGTTCTTGCCTTGGTTCTGCCATTAACTCCTTATGGTATCAGGTAAACCACTTAACCTTTTTGTGTTTCAGTATTAATCTGTAAAGTGGGAACAACACTAATGTTTGACCTACACACTTTATAGAGTTGTTATGAGAATGAAAAGAAATAATAGACAGGAGTGAACTTTGCAAAGTTAAATGACGAGACTCCACCGTTGTGCAGGACAGAAAGGGAGGCTCATTTTGCCAGTTTCTGTGTTTTGGGCAGAGCCATGAACACAGTGCTGTAAATAGCACATCATAGTATCATGGGAGTTGGAAGAGACTGGAGAGGTCATCCAGTTTAACCTCCTTTACAGATGAGGAAATTGAAGCCCAGAGAAGAAATTAATTTGCCTAAGTTCACACTAGAAATGACTTAGCTAGAATTCACTGCCAGGTTTTCTCACTGTAAGCCCCGTGCTTTTTTATCCTTTTTTATAATCCCCACAGAGCATGAAAAAAAGGTTCCAAATAATTCCACCCACTCCTGTTTGCTGTTCATTGCTCACCTTCTCCAGAAACATCTCAATCTGTTTGTCACAGTGTTTTACAAAATAGAATCATTCACAGTGTATGTTCTTTGAGAATAGGAATAATTGCCCACCCCAGTGGCTGAGGAACTCTACAGAAGCAGCACTTTTAATGGAATGGTGGTTGTTATTGTTGTTCTAAAATTTTTATTAAATGGTGTTCTTGAAGACCAGCATGGTCTAATAGAAAGAGCATTGGCTTGGAAGCTTTGCCATTAATTATCTCTACCACCCTCTGAGCTTCTGTGTCCTTATCTGTAAAATGAAGGCATTCACAGGATCATAGGTCTGGAAAGGACTTCAGAGGCCATCATTTTACAGGTGAGCAAATTGAGACCCAAGGAGTTTATGTGTATGTGTCAAAGGTGGGATTTGGGCTCAGGTCTTCTGACTTACAATGTTCTTTCAACTGTACCATGATTCCTAGATGATCTCTAAGCTCCATTTTAACAAATGATGATAATGATGATGATGATTCCAGGATTAGAATTCATATACTTCTGGGGATACTTAGTTAACTTTCGGAAGAGTCTGAAAAGGCACCTATTAATGATATAATGAACAGAAGGCTGATGGGGACATGTAGAAAAGTTACATAGGATGAGAAGATATTCTTATGATTGGGGGTTGGAGGGAGCATTGATCCACTGAAATATTGAAGACTGGCAGGGAAGCAAGTTTTTAGAGCTCTGAACATTGGTCACCACTCTGTCTGTCTTTAGCTTGCCTTGTGTCTTCTAGTGGTCCAGGAAAATTCTCTTGTTTATCAGGTACCCACCTACAAAAATGGTGGAAGGGTAAAAAATGCAAGGCTGTAGTGAAGGCTACTTAATAAGTAATAGAACTGCTTACAGAAGTAAGGGGATTATGCTATAGACAATGTGTCATCCTATAGACAGTGAAGGCCAGTATGGCATAGTGAAAAAAAGGTCGTGCTTGGTACAGGAAGCCCCAGGCTTGAATCCCGTTAAGCCACTCACAAACTGTGTGACCTTGGACTTCATTACTTTGGGACTCAATTTCCTCATTTGTAAAATGAGGTAATTTAGATAAAGGGTTGGCTGATACTACTGACGGAGTACCAAATCCAGCCCATAGCCTGTTTTGTTTTTTTTAAATGGTCTTCACATTTTAAAATATAATGAAATTTTATTTTAAATTGTAAAAACCATTCTTAGTTGGGACTAATAGGTGGTAGTTGAAGTCCCATGGGCTATGTAATTTGCCAACTCCTGGAGTAGATTATCTCAAGGGTTGCTTCTATCTCTAAATTCTATGCCTAGAATTTATTATTAAACTGTATTAAACAGTTTTTAAACTTCCTACACCCTTTGACCCAGCAATACAACTACTAGGTCTATTTCTAAAGATTATGAGGGAAAAAGGAAAAGAATCTATATGTTCTAAAATGTTTATAGCAGCTCTCTTTGTGGTAGCAAAGAACTGGAAATTGCAGGGATGCCCATCAATTGGAGAATGACTGAACAAGTTGTGGTATATGGTTGTGATAGAATGCTACTGTGCTGTAAGAAGCAGTGAGATCAGTGATCTTAGAAAAAACATGGAAAGACTTGCACGAAATAATGAAGAGGGAAATGAGCAGAACCGAGAAAGCATTGTATACGGTAACAGCAATGTTGTTTTAAGAATGACTTTGAAGAAATAACTCATTTTGACTATTATAAATACCTCAATTAACTGTAAAGGACATATGAATAAAGACACTATCTGTATCCAGAGAAAGAACTGATAAATAGAAGCATATATAGAAATAATTTTACATATATATTTGTGTCCAATGGGACACAAGGAGGGAAGAAAAAAAAGAAATTTACATGATAACTTTATTATATATTTAAAAGGAATAGTAAGTTGTACCTAATAGATTTGCAAGTTCATGTGCAATCATCATTTTTATTATCTTTTATTATTATCTTTTAATTATGGAAATATTTGTTTTGTTCCATAATTTAAATGAATTTAAATTCCATTAATTAAAAGAATTAAAATTAAATTTTTAAAAATTCTATGTCTACATTGATCTCTGAGGTCCATTCCAGCTTTAATAGTCTCTGATTCTATGGCTTTAGGCTGAAAGTAAATGAAAGAGCATTGGCTCTGGAGTCTGAGGACCTGAGTTCAAATCGTATCTTGACTACTTCCCTATGTGCCCTTGGGCAAGTCCCTTTATTTCCCTGGACCTCAGTTTTCTCATCTGTAAGATGAAGGAATAGAATAGATGGCTTCTAAGGTCGCTTCTAGCTCTAAATCTCTGATACGAATTGTGGGATTTAATGAGCTACTTTAATTGGGGAAGAAAGCTTTAATAACTCCTCCACTCTACCCCAAAAGCTCCCAAAATGAAACAAAAATATTCATGAACTACCTGATGCCTGCTTGCTACCCTAGCACAGTGTGTGGCTCCTTCTGAGACCGTGAGCCACATTATGTTCTAAAAACCCAAGAAGCACGAGGAAAGTCTTTATTCACTGCTGCTCTGTTTCGGGGGATCCTGTGCCTTCATCTGAGCAGGAGGCATTCCAGAAATGCCGCTTGGGAAACCAACAGAAAGCACAAGGCCTTTCTTTTTTTCTTTGAAAGATTATGACTTAGCAAATGGAAAATAATATTTCATCCTTCAGCCCTCAGGTCGCTTTGGCTCTTCTGTGGCAGTGTTGGACTTCAACCAGGATGGGCTGCCTGACCTGGCAGTGGGAGCTCCGTCTGTGGGAGCCGAGAAACTCACTTATAATGTAAGCTTACTTTGACCTATGAGGCTTGTTTTCTGTCCTTTCTCTTCCCGCCTCCCCATCAAACCCCTGTCTTCATTTCTGAGGGGAAGGAAGAGCATTAAAAAGCCCAGGGATCATCAGTTTAAATTCTGATGTTTATGATGTTCACATAGTATATTATATGATGGCCATTCATTTAGTCTTTATCCTACCATGTTAAATACCATTAGGGATAAGGAAGAAACATATAACACATGGTCCCAGCTCTCCAAGCAGCTGTAGTTTTGTCGGGAAACTAAGACAGTTGGAGAGGAGCAAGACAGATGCAGTTCACTCCCAAGGCAGGAACAAGATGTCACAAGGCACATATGAGAAGTATCGGCTGAATGGTACAAACAATACATTACAAGTTCCAGTGGGAGAGAGATCCTGGATGGCCAGAACCATCAGGAAGGGTACCAGGGAGGTGCTGAGATCCAAGCTGAGCCTGAGGACTTATAGGAGTTGCTTAGGCAGTTTTCTCCCTGTTGACTTTACTTTTTTATCATAAGGGAACTGATGTCCCTAATTTGGGGAAATGATCAGAGAATTCTAAGTTTGTGAGAGAAGAAACCAGGCTGCTGTGAGAACCAGATCTTTCTCAAAGTCATCAGTAATTGTTATTCAGCATCCTCTAGGGGACCTGGCTCTATGAAAAACACAAAATTATTAAATACACAAAACTCTTTTATATCATTTAATCGATCCATCAACATTTATTAAGCACCTACTATGTGTCAGGCACTGTGTTAAGCCTATGAATACAAAGAGAGGCAAGAACAATTTCAGCCCTCAAGGAGCTCACATTCCATTATGGAGATAACATGTAAACATACAAGATTCATTTGCCAAATGCTATTATCAAATGAGATAACATGTATAAAGCATTCTGCAAACTTTAAGGCACTATATACATGCTAGTTATCATTATGTCTGAAGTCTATATGATACTGCTTCTGATACATTTTTTGGTCATTTTCTAGGGGGCAGTGTATATCTTTTTTGGTTCCAGAAAAGGAAAAATATCTTCTCAACCAAATGTCACCATTTCGTGCCAGGTATACCCACTTACTCCTAATGTATGTTTGCCATCTGCACCTGGGCTTCCACCAATGTCTCTTAGGGTTATGCAGGTGAACCTGGGTTATTTTGGGCTATGTCAGTGAAACAAGAGCTCAGGCAGTCCTACCTACTAACTGAAAAGGCTTCAAACATGGGCCAGTTGGTGGACCATATGTTTGCTTTTCAAAGATCACCTTAGTTAAATTTGAGGAGCCTCAACACCAACTTGGGTGCAGAGTGATGAATTGCCTGGTCATAGCAATTCACTGAGATCATTTGTTAAGGTGTAGAGGGGATGATGAAATCCCAGATACTTGGCCTGTTAAAGTATGTTTTGCCACTATGGCCAGACTTGTGGAGCTCCTTCTATTGCTAAGAACTCTCTGTGGACTCTAAAAATCTCCATGTATGAGTTAAAAGCTGTTTTCCTTTCAGGACACATACTGTAACCTTGGCTGGACGCTCTTGGCAGCAGATATCAATGAGGATGGTGCTCCTGACCTGGTGGTTGGGTCACCCTATGCACCCAGTGGAGGGAAGCAGAGGGGAATTGTGGCTGCATTCTATTCGGATCCCATCCAAAATGTCAAAGGTGATGCTTGCTGGTGGGATCGCCCAGTCTGCTGTGTGTAGATTACATATTCTTGTTCATTCCTTTTACTCCTCCCTTGGTGAAGAAGTCATATCATTGCCTTAAGCTGGTGATACAGATGTTAGCTTCTTGTTATAACTGAACTGTAACATACTCTCTTCCTGTGCACTTAAATGAAAAGGGAATTCAGCAATAGCTTTCTAACAAAGACTTCAGTAGGCTAGGAAATGAAATACTATGAAACGTCTAGAAAAGCAATTATTTTTACAACTTGTTCTTCAGTCTTGGCAACATGACCACAAATTTTATTCCTTGTACGAATCATGAGGGCCATTGTTGACCCAGGGTTGACTTGAAGAGTGAAAAAGGGCTCTACTAGAAATGGGCTCCTTTGACAGAGAGACACTCTGAGACCTGCCAGACTTCAGAACCTCCAAACTTACAGGTCGTCACAGCCTCCTAGTGAAGGTGACTGCTCTTGTCTTCTAGATCAGCTGAATGTTGAGGAGGCTAATTGGATGGTAAAGGGGGAAGATGACTATGCCTGGTTTGGATATTCGATTCACAGTCTCAGTCTAAAGAACACAACCCTGTTATTGGTTGGGAGTCCAACCTGGAAGAATATGAGTGGGTAAGCTCTGATCTTGAATTGTAAGACTGAGCTCAAGTGTAACATGATAAAACTTACCATTGCTTCTTAGCCCTCTAGATGTAGAATTTCTGTATGTAAACTTAGTACTTTTAAAAAGGAGTAGGGATTCTGGGATCTTGTAGAATCTTTATCTGATAGATTGTTAAAAATAGAAACCATTTTAGGGGGTATAGTTTGAAGGGTTTTCTACCTGTTGGCAGAAGGAATGGTTTGGTGCAGTAGAAAGGACGCTGAACCTTGTATAGTCAGTCATAGGACCCGAGTTCACACCCCAGCTGTGGCAGTTACACCTGTGCGGCTTTTCAACCCTCCTGTCCCCAGGCCATTAGGATTATGAGGACTAAGGGGTGTGTGTGGGTGTGTGTGCGTGTGTGTGTGTGTGTGTGTGTGTGTGTGTGAGATGTGTGTAGCCTTCTTCTCTTCCTCTCATGATTCAGTTCAGAAATAATCTTAACTGAATCCCCTGTTGAATCTGCTACCCCAAAGATGCCTCTGGCTGGAGATGGTTGGGTTGCTGAAAACAGTGTGATTTGTTCCAGGTTAGGTAATGTGTTCTACATCCGTGATGAGAAACAGAGCATTGGAAAGGTCTACGGCTATTACCCACCAAGTAAACAAAGTTGGTTTATGATTTCTGGAGACAAGGTAGGAGATTCCCTCTGAGGAGAACTGCCACAGCACACTCTGTCAATGCAGAACCATTTAGTATTGATAATATTACATTTTTTCAGGCAATGGAAAAACTAGGCACCTCACTATCAAGTGGTGTTGTGGAAGTCAATGGAGCCCCAAGACAAGTGCTGCTGGTTGGTGCTCCAACACGTGGTATGTCAAGCATCACTTAATATTTACTGCTTCCTATTAGTGAGATGGCCCTTCGGACCAACAGAACTAAATTTTTTAAAACTCAGCATTCGTGAAGGACAGGGTATTCTCTCAGAGTGGAGGACCTTGTTAGCAGATTCTGAGCACTATGCTTGCTTCTCAGGCAAATTATTTCATTCCCTTTTAGAAGGAAGATTAATCCACAAGAGTCATTGGCTCTGCCACTTTCTATTGTCTAACCTTAGGCAAATAATTTAATTTCCCTGGGTCTCATGTTCTTCATCTGTCAAATGAGGTTGGACTAGATTAATCCACAAGAGTCATAAGTGGCTTTTTTTTTCTGATTATAATAGTCAGAACATAGAATTATTATTTTTTTTCTTATTTAAGTCTTGTATTTCTCTTTTCCTACTTAATAGTATTTTATTTTTTCCAATTACATGCAAAGATAGTTTTCAACATTCACTTTTACAAGATCCTGAGTTCCAACTTCTTTTCTCCCTCCCTCCCTTCCCCTCCTCCAAGACAGCATGCAATCTGATATAGGCTATACATGTACAATCATATTAAACATATTTCCACATTAGTCATGTTGTGAAAGAAGAATCAGAACAAAAGGGAAAAACCACGAGAAAGAAAAAAAACAAAACAAAAAAGAAAAAATAATATGCGTCAATCTGCATTCAGACTCCATAGTTCTTTCTCTGGATGTAGACAGCATTTTCCATTTTTAGTCTTGGAGTTGTCTTAGATCCTTGCATTGCTGAGAAGAGCTAAGTCTATCAAAGCTGGTCATCACGTGATATTGCTGTTACTGTGTACAATGTTCTCCTAGTTCTGCTTGTGTCACTCGGCATCAGAGAACATAGAATTATACCATTAAAAAAAAATCTTAATGAATATAGCTTCTAGTACTTACATTGCCACATATTGGCTATACTGGAGTTCTCTCCTTTTCAGAGTCAAAAGCAGTGATTTCTAACCTTTTTTTTTTTAAATTTCCACACCCTATTATTACTTTATTTTGTAATTCACTTCTTCCCCCAAACACATACCTTTAAGTACTATGTGGTTTAATAAGTTTATATAATATAGTTTCATTAAATTTATTTTAAAAATTAAAGTAGATTTGAGTTCATTTTGTTTTTAGAAATTTGAGCCATCCATAACTTCCTTGGCTGCTACAATAATAATAATAATAATAATTATAGTCCACTTCTCTATAGTACTGTCAGGTTTGCAAAGTATTTTCCTTATTTCCTTAATCTTGTGAGGTGAGTAGTTTCCCATTTTACAGATGAGAAGTCTAAGTCTCAGAGAATCCATGATCATATTGCTAATAAATGTCAAAGCAGGAATCTGAGCCCATGTCAATCCTGATCATGAATCCAGTGCTATTTTACTATGAAAATTACTGTCCTAGGCTTAAATTGGTAGTCAGAAGAGGCATGCATATATGTATTGGAAAGAACACTGGAGGGGAGGGGAGGGCAGAGTTGGGAAGGGGAAAATGAGGAGGAAAGGATGGGGAGGGGAGAATGAACTAGTTGATCACTAAGGTCTTCTACTGCTGGGATTCTCTGATTGTTTAAATTGATCTAATAATAAATGCACTGAGTATTAATGATATAAATAAGAAAAAAAGAACACTGGATTTGGAGTCAAAATGCCAGTGTTTGAATCCTGGTTCTGCCACTTTCTACTGTCTAACCTTAGGTAAATAATTTAATTTCCCTGGGCCTCATGTTCTTCATCTGTAAAATGAGAAGGTTAGAGTAGAAGATGACTTCTAAGGTCCTTTCCAGCTTGAAATCTTGGGATCCCAATGTCATTATTCCCTCTAAGATTCATCTCTGGTTTTAGGGCCAATGTAAATCAAGCTTTTGTTGATAAAGAGGATGCCACATTCTTCAAAAATGTAACTACCTTGTGAGGATGTTGGTGTTATCAATTAATGTGATTTACTACTTTGATGATAAAAAATTCCACTTGAATAGGATTATTCTGAAATTATTAAAATCACATTTATAGAAATGTTAAACTCTGACTCTAAGAAATGTCCCCTAGCGTGTAGAGTAACTGTACTTGTGTTTAACTCTTTGTGACCCCGTTTAGGATTTTTCATTTAAAATATTTTATTTCTTCAAATTATTTTTATTAATTTATTTTTATTTATCAACAATCACTTCCATAAGCTTTTGAATTTAAAATTTTTCTCCCTCTCCCTCCCCCCTTCCTCCCCAAGACAGCGCACAATCTGATATAGGCTCTACATAAACATTCCTAGTAAACATATTTTCACATTAGTCATGTTGTAAGGAAGAATTAGAACCAATAGGAGGAACCACCAGAAAGAGGAAACAAAACAAAACAGGAGAATGTTTAGGGTTTTCTTAGCAATGATACTATAGTGATTGCCAGCTTATTTTTCCAAATAAGGAATCTGAGACAAGTAAGGTTAAGTGACTTGCCCAGGATCACACAGTTAGTAAGTGTCTGAGGCCAGATTTGAACTCAAAAAGATGAGTCTTCCTGACTGTAGGCCCAGCGGGTAATCTATCCACTACACCACCTGGCGGCCCCCTGTGCGTAATAAAGCCATATTTATTTGTTGACATAGGAGAATGAGGTGTTCCAAATGAGTGCAATTTTCAGATAATTGAACTCTCTCCCTTAAGGTGCTGACACTTTTAAAAAATAATTTTAACTACCTTTCATAGTTAATATTTCTACATACTTTCCTGCTTTAGTAAACAGAGTACACCAAATATTATCTTTCTCCACATCCATTACTGTATTAAACCATACAAGAATGATCCCTTCTGTGTGCTCGTCTGAGGTTATTTGCTCGTATGCTAAGTGGACCCAGGTTGCTGTGCTTTTCTTGTTAGTATTTTTTTGTTCTTCCTTTTTTTTGTTAATAATCATGTCTTGCTGCTTTTATGGGGCTTGTATTCAACCCAAGTTTCTAATTGGCAGTCTGCTATAAGCTGAGGCAGAATTGAAGGCTGCCCAAGAAAATCATATAATCAAGTTTGGTGAGTAAGTCACATTAATTCTATACACAATACTAAGTCAGTAGCTCTGGCGTAAGGGCTTGAAGGCAATTCTGATCTTTGCCTAAGAAACCAGGAAACCAGCATGCCTAACCCTAGTTTTGCAATATTCTAGGGTATTGCTATAGTAGTACTGATCTTAATGGTAGCAGAAAAATGTTTGAGCAAAATAAATTTGAATTAATCTGCATTTAAATGACAACTGTTTTTTCTTGTCACTCAAAGGTCTTCTTTATTCACTTCTTGGATTTATGCCATTTTGGATCATTGAGGTGGCAGAAAGTTTGACTGTCAAATGATTGGGAATAGACATTCTGTTGTCTTGTCTCAAATTTCTCCCTACTCCAGTCTATCCTCCATTTAGCCACTAAAGTGATTGAAGATCTGATCATGTTACTGCCCTGTCCCCTTTTCCCCCATGTATCTTGTAGCAAAGCAGTTTAGTATTTTCTAAAAACTCGAACTTTCTAACAGTAGATTGGCTGTATCATAAAGTAGTGAGTTCCCTGCCACTTGAGGTATTCAAGAAGCATCTGTAAGGGATATTGTAGGAGGGATTTTTGCATTGGGTGGCAGATTAGACTAGATGGTCCATTAAGATCCCTCCCAAATTTAAAATTCTCTGCTTAGTTTAGTTTCATAATATGTGACATCTTAAATCTAACCCTCTGATACTTTGTAAGTTGCTCCATTTTTTTTGTTTCAGATGACATGTCTAAAATGGCATTCTTATCCATGACCCTGCACCAGGGGGGCAGCACTCGGATATATGACTTGACAGCCGAGACAGGGCCCTTGTTGCTTGGCACCTTCAGTGGGGATAGGCGTTTCTCCCGCTTTGGAGGGATAGTACACTTAAGGGACCTGGACAATGATGGATTAGGTAAGAAGGTGACATGAACTTCAGCCAAGGAGTCAGATTCCTTTACTCAATGGAGCAATTCCCCAGTAGAGACTCCCCCACTCTCCCAGTTGTACCACCTGAGCTCGGGCAGCTTAATTAGAATTGGCATCATTGAGTTCAACCCTATCATTTTGTAAAGGAGGAAACTCGGGCCCAGAGACAGCATGATTTGCCCAAGGTCACCTAGGTCATTAATTGGCAGCTCAATAATGCTAAGGACTTTATGATAATAATTCTGAGCCTAATTGGGCCCAAACCGAATTGTGTAACAAGAATGACTTATCCTCCTTGTGGCTATGTTCAAATTCTCCACCCTATTAACTGATGATGAATAATGAAACAGAAAAAGAACATCTGTCTTAGACAGGCTAAGATTGGAGTAGACAATTTCAAGGCAGGGTAAGGAGTGTGTTGGGATAAGGAAATTATGATTATTGTGAGGATCCAAAACAGAACATGATTATCTTTCCTTCAACCCTCCCTTTCCCTTCCCTCCTCACCTTCTCTCAGGCCCTTACTATCTCCCACCACCACCACCACCATATCTAATCTGTTCCCAAAGCCTCTCAATTTCATCTTTGCAATTTCTCCCATTCTCCCCAGCCTCTCCTCTGACACTGCCACCAATCTGGTGAGGGCCCTCATCACTTCATGTCTGTATTGCAGTAGCCTGCTGGTGGGTTGCCTTGTCTCAGGTCTCTCCCCACTCCATTTATCCTCCATTTATCCACTGAAGTGGTATTGCAGTAGCCTGCTGGTGGGTTGCCTTGTCTCAAATCTCTCCCCACACCATTTATCCACCATCTCTTGACTGTGGGAATTTTTTTTTTTTTTTTTGCTTTTTGGTGAGGCAATCGGGATGGTTAAGTGACTTGCCCAGGGTCACACAGGTAGTGAGTGTCAAGTGTCTGAGGCTGGATTTAAATTCAGGTCCTCCTGACTCGAAGGCTGGAGCTCTATGCACTGCAGTACCTAGCTGCCCCTGACTTCTGACTGTCTCTCATGTCTGGAACACTCTCCCTGCTCTATTGACCTCCCTGACTTCCTTTAAGTCTCAACTAAAATCCCACCTTCTACAGGAAGTCTTCCCCAGTCTCTCTTAATTCTACTACCTTCTCTCTGTTAATGGTTTCCTATGTATGCACTGTAGAGCTTGATTTGTATATATGTGTTTGTATGTTGTTTCCTCCATTAAATTGTGAGGTACTTGAGGGTAGGGGCTGTCTTTTGCTTCTTTTTATATCCCTAGCACTTAGCATAGTACCCGGCACATAGTTCACAAATTAACAAATTGTTTATCATTGATTAACAAATGTTTATCAATTCATTGAGCTTTGTGCTTTGTGCTTAATGCTTACAGATGAGATCATCATATCAGCCCCTCTGAGGACAGGGGACTTCACAGGTGGGCTGCTTGGTGGGGAGGATGGCCGTATTTACATCTACAATGGCAAGAATGTTCCCCTTGGTGATGCCACAAATAAATGCAAATCCTGGATCTCTCCATGTCCTGAAGAAAAGGTAAGTTATGTAAGTGTTCTCTCACAAAATCCTGCCACTTGGGTGAAGGGCAGCTAGCTACTGAGTCCTTGTTAGCATAGTGAAATCTTGATGTTAAAACACTTCATGAAGAACTAAATTAATGCATTCCTAGTGCTTAATGACTTCAGGGCCTTTGATGTCTGTGCTATTTGTCTTCCCTACCTGGAGAAACATTTAACAAACATGCATAATGTGTACGGGGGTACATGCAGCACATTGGTCTGGGGGCTATCATAAAGTGTCTTAGCATTTCAGTCACAAGTCTAATAAGATCCCAAGGTCAAAGGCAAGAGACTGAACACTTTGAAGGTCAAATCCATAAAGATCCTTCCTCCCAGTTTTATCATCAAGGATTTAGAGCTGGCAGGGTCCTTATAGTCCAATTCTCTCATTTTACAAATGAGAAAACTGAGGCTCAGAAAGATGTAGTGACTTTCCTGTCACACAAGTAGTGAGTGGTTGGGGCAGGATCTGAACCACGTCCTCAGACTTTGAATCCATCAGTTTTCCCTTGAATCCAGTCTATTCCCTTCTTTCAGATGAGTTCCTTTGCCTCCCATTTTCTGGGCTTTTATAGTCTGGCCATCACATAAAATTTGTTCTTTTGAACCTATCTATGTGTATTATAATGACTATAACATTATGTCTCTCTCTCTCTCTCTCTCCTACTCCTTTGTTTTCTTTCAGGCCCAGCATGTACTGATTTCTCTTGAAGTGAGTATCTCTTGAAGCATTTTTGAGAGAGAAATGAAGACTGTCACTTTTTTTTTCTACTTGAATTTGTTATAACATGACAGGTTTTTACAAATACCATTAACAGACAAAATATGTTTTATAGGAAGGTTCAAGATTCGGGAGCTCTGTGGTCACAGTGAAGTCAAAGACAAAGGTGGGGACAACAAATATACATACATGTGTGTGAGCGTGTGTGTGTGTGTGTGTGTGTGTGTGTGTATACATATATATATATATGTATGTATCTGCTTTCTTTTTTCTTTAATACTAATTCTTAATATTTGGGAAGAGTGTCTTTCGACCTACCAATCAATTGGTCAACAAGTATTTATTAAGTACCTACTGTGTGCCAGGCACTATGCTAGGTTCTAGTGAAATAAATACAAAGAATTAAACAATCTCTACTTGCAATGATCTTACATTCCAGTATAAGCCCATGACATCAATCATTCACGCAAGGCAAATATTTATTACGTGCATACCTTTGTGTATCTTGACAGGGCTTATTTTTGGAAATTCATAGGATCATAGTTCAAGAACTGAAAGGTATCTTATGGGTCATATAGTACAACATCTTTCAGTACACAGAGGGAGAAACTGAGGCCCAGGGAGGTCAAATTATTTGCCCAAGGTCACACAGGCAGTGTCAGTGGCAAGATTTGAACTCAGGTTCTCTGACTCCGAAACTAGCGTTCTTTTCTTCTATATCACACTTGCTGGCCTGAAGTCCTCGGAACAAACTGCAAACTGTGTTGGCAGCCCTGTTTTACGGCCACAGGGCTAAGACAAATCAGGGGCAATTCTTGTACCCAAATTTTTCTGCCAAAGAATGCTTAACTTCATATTCTAACATTTTTGGTACAGTAGGTGCATCAAGGTCGTCCAGGGCCAATGAAATCCTGTGGCTGGCTAGGTTCCAAATTCAAGGAGGTGAGGGTAGGTTGCCCTCTACTGGCTGGCTGATATTTCAGGTGCTTCTTTAGTTTGTGAATTTAATACATAAAAATCTGAGCCATGGGATTTAGAGCTCAGAGGGACTGTGGAGGTGAGTTAGCTCAAACCCCTCATTTTCCAGATGAGGAAACTAGGAAGTCAGACAAGGTAATGTTGGCAGAAAGTAGCAGAGCTAAGAGCGTTCTTTCAACTACCCCAAAGATTCATACAAAAAGTTAAGTTAAACTGATTAATTACACAAAAGGATTCTATAATTTACAAAAATTCTTACCTAGGACCTCTTAAACTAGCCAGTTCCTCTCATATATTAAAAACTTGGTTTAATTTTACAGAACTCTGACAGTCATAAACGTTTTCAGGAACACATTTGTTGTGTAAAATGAATGATGCTTACAAATAAATTCTCTATTATTTTCATTATTTGAGGAGAGTCACAGGGCTGGTGAGTTTTAGACATCTGAACACAAGTCTCTACTTCAAGATCAGAGCATTTCCCACTATATAAGTAGCTAGGTGGCAGACTGGGCAAAAGTATTAATCTTGCAGTCAGGGGACCTGAATTCAAATTTGGCCTCAGATACTTCTTAACTGTATGAGCTGGGTGAATCACGCAATTTGCCTGCCTCAGTTTTCTCATCTGTAAAATAGGGGTAATAATAACACCTATCTCCCAGGAATGTTGTGAGGATAAAATGAGATAATATTTGTTGTTTGTTTTTTTTGGCAAGGCCACTGGGGTTAAGCGACTTGCCTAGGGTCACACAGCTAGTGAATGTTATGTGTCTGAGGCTGGATTTGAACTCAGGTCCTCCTGACTCCAGAGCCAGTGCTATATCTACTGCACCACCTAGCTGCCCCTGAAATAATATTTGTAAAGTGCTTTTGCAAACTTTAAAGCACCATATAAATGCTAGCTACTACTACTCCTACTTCCACTACTACTATCAGCAGCAGCAGCAGCGGTACTACTACTACTACTACTACTCTTGCTACTACTACTACTACTACTGCTACTACTGCTACTACTACTACTATTACTAGTACTACTACCACTACTACTACTACATTCATTTTTTAAAAAGAGACCCTATTATGTGCACAGGACTGCCCTAGAAGGTCCTTTTCAACTTTGAAGTTCTGTGATTATATACTAAAGGTATGTGTTTGTATGGCACAATCTCTTATAGGAATTTAGTAGTTTAATAAGATCAGAACAAAGTATGATGTAGTGGAAAAGACACTGGACTTTGAATCCAAAGACCTGGGTTTGATAATCCAAGCTCTCTGACCTTGGGCAAATCACATTATCTCTCTGTGCCTCAGTTTTCCTACCTATAAAATGAGGGGTTGGAACTAGATAATCTTTATGATTCCTTCTAGCTCTAGCATTCTTTTAACTAATATAACTATAGAGCACTGGGCTTAGAGTCAGGAAAACTCATCTTCATGAGTTCAAATATGGCCTCAGATACTTACTAGCTTCATGACCCTGGGCAAGTCACTTAACCCTGTTTGCCTTCATTTCTTCATCTATAAAATGAGCTGCAGAAGGAAATGGCAAACCAATCCAGTATCTTTGCCAAGAAAACCCCAAATGGGATCAGCAAGAGTCAGACACAACTGAAATGACAAAACAATAACAACTATAAAATAGTTTAGGAACAAGACAGGACCAGGTGCCAGGGCTTGGGACATCCAGTGAAGGAGCTGGAGCAGTTAGGGAAGGTATTTGAATGAGATGGTCTTTGAGCTTTACTGTGAAGGATCAGAAGGATTTGAAGGAAGAGTAGGGAACAGATAGGTAAAGGGTCATTCAGGCAAAGGAATTTATGGGAATGGGAATTTAAAATGAATTGTGTACATTTGGATGACCAGGCCAGAGCTAAATGGGAAGGTCTCTGTGCTGATGTCCTTGCAGAACACCCAAGCTGAAGTGTCTGCCTCTTCTGTGGCATCTGCACAGAGGTGAGGACATGACCCTCCCTCAGCCATCTCCCAAACAACTTCAATCCTAGAAAACAGACAGGTTGCGATGAAGACTAGCAGGTTTGTGCTCCATGCTGTTTAGTTTGCTAGGAACATAGGATCAGATTTAGAGCTGGAAGGGACCTCATAAGCCATTAAATCTCATGCTCTTATTTTAAAGATAAGGGACCTAAAGAGGTTAAGTGATTTACCCAAGGTCACACAGCTTACGAGTGACAGAGACAGGATTGAAATCCAGGTCCTCTGACCTCACAATCAGCACGTTGTATTTTTCACACTGCCTTGAAGGAACTAGATGAAAATCATACTTGACTGAAAAGCCCCTGGTATTTGATCTGAGTTTTCCTGGAAGAAAAAGCTTAAGATTCATCTCCTCCCACTTAGTGAATGCCACACAATGGTTCCTTATGCCAGAGATGGGAAATCAACTCTTTTTGTTGTTGTTGTTAAGTGGTTTCAATCCTGTCCGACTCTCTGTGACCCCATTTGGCTTGCGTATGACTTTTAGTTGTTTCAGAAAATCAGATGTCCTTAAAGGATAATAAGATATTGAAAGGAATGGGTTGCAAGTTCTGAAGGCATTCTAAAGGATCTCCTTTATTTAAAAAACAAACAACCCCCCCCCCAAAAAAAAACCAACCAAAACCCACCAGCAGTATTACTTTATAGTCTTCCCTCACAGGTCACTTTGTTAAATCAACCCCTTGTTAAAACCAGCACTGTTCTGGCTTCCAAGGATCCTGGCTTGTGGAGACCAGGTCACACTGGGAAGCACCCTTGCTATTAATGCCATTGTTCTTTATTCTTTCTTTTCATTTCTTCATTATGGACTTAGAAAGGAATCAGCTACTTCCCCAGTAGCATCTCAGACTCTTTTAGGGTTGATGAGCATTTGGAATTGTGGCTAAAAGCCCAGCCACAGTTATTTTGTCCTATATTGTGTCCTCACAGAATCAAGTTGTTGTTGCTGCTGGGAGGAGTTCCATGGGAGCCAGACTGGCTGGGACGCTTCACGTCTATGATCTGGGAGTCGACTAGAGACCTTGTCACCGTTGCCCTGCATACCCCTCCCTTTCTGATGGAGAGGCTTCTGACGTACGGCTGAATTGGCACCTCAAGTGGAGCCACCATGGAGTATCATTTAGGTGGAGCTCCTGGGAAGGTAGAGAGAAGATAGGAAGAGTATCAGGCAACTAGGAACTGGGAAACCTTCAATTACATGACTCGACCATACTATGAAATATCAGAAACTCCTCTCGCACACATCCTCCTTTCCAAATCTGATTCCTCGTCCCCCCCTTGCATCTGATGTGTCTTCCTTCTCTTTTGAATTTGATGTTGAGAACTCTGGTTCAAATCCCACATCACTGCTAATGCTGTGTGACTGTGGGAAAATTATTCTCTCTAGGCCTGTTTCCTTATCTAGAAAATTAGGGAGTTGGGCTAGGTGGCTTCTTAGGTCTCTTCCAGACCTAGATCTAGGAGCTGATGACCTGTTGCCAAACCTGTTTCCTCCTCCCACTTATCGGAGTGGCCCTTCCCTGTTCCTGGGATGGTCTTCTTGTCCTTGCCTATTTGGCAAGCCTTGAAAATTTGCTTCTTCCTTTAGGGAAGCTTAATTAATAACGAAGGAGAGGGTATAAAGAGAAACTGTAGGAGGGGAGTGCAGAGTCACAAGGGCTGATAACCTCAAAACCCAAGACCTTTTTTTTCTGCCAATGGTTTTGAAATCTTAAGTGGTATGTTAGCATGTATGTAGCTCAGTGAATAGGCAACAAGAAAAAAAATCAATGTCTGGTTCAACTGTCTGAAAAATTGAACTCAGATTTCCCCATTTACTGAATTCTTTTAGTCTCAATTATTTTCCAGTGTTTCAATAGGTCTCATTAATATGGGTATCCACTCTAACAAAGGAGATGATTATCTATTCATGCCTACCCATCCAGGGCAACTCATGAATTCAATAGAATTCTTTTTATAAGAATGAAGTTATCCCTGAGGTTATATACAGTGAAAAGCAAATATTAAAACTGAAGATAATGAGGCCTCTCTGGGTATTTTACAAATTCTGCAGAGGTAGCTAAGGATGAGATAAGGCTAGGACCTCAAACTAATACCCTTTTCATTCTCTTTCTCTTAGAAGTACCTTGAAGAGGGTGGTAGCTCAGTAGCAGGGTTGTCTCAATAGTAGTAGAAAGTCTGAATGTGGCCTGCACCACGAGCAGCCAGGCAGAATATATGGGAGCTAGCTGACAGTGAAGATTGAATATGGGATCAGGAGGGGATCTAGTGTTCCAGACTCCCTTCCAGCAAACTGCACTATCATCTGTCACAGACTATATTTAACTGCCAGTACCGAAAACTCTTTATACTCGATTTAAAAGTCACATGTGACAGTAACAGAGTAAAACTAAGAAATGTCCAACACAAAAACTTTACTAATGATCAGCCCACAGCAATTGGGGGTGGGGGGGAGAAGAGAGAAGAAAGTAACTTGGAAAAGGTGATATGCGTGATGATTGTACCAGCTGTTCTGTACTACCCACAGAGGAACTATTGAGATTATCACAGAGGTACTTTGGGGGTCTTAACACTTCCAGAGTAAATCATTATAAATATGAATATGAACACTTCCTAGCTTCTCTAATACCGAAGTGTAGGGTGAGAAGAGGTCCCAGGTAGAATCCAATCTAAGGGTGGGGGTAGTAAAAGTGAGGAAGAGACAAATAGAAGTGAGTAAGATAACTCTGTAGGTACACCTATGCATAAATCTTAAGTGATTCCTGACCTAGGTTTCCTGGGGAAAAGGGAGGGGGTTCTGTCTTCCATACAAGAACAATAGAAACAAAAACATGGAAAACACTATAGATGTAACTATACCTGCCAGTTCAAGATAGTTACATTTTTAAAATTCGTTAAACTGCATTGCAAATAAAGTATTATTGAACAGAGAAACTACTGAGAGTACTATTCTGTATGCTATCTTATATTAATTTGTATGGAGTTTTTATTATTAATTCAAAGGAAATTTGGTAATCAGGTGGCAGTCAACTGCTCAACAGTGGCAATTTCTATAGCTAATGATTTAAGTATTCAGTAAGTGGTTAACTCTTGGAGATTCTAGCCATTAAACTAGAAAAAGTGAAGCTACCTGGGTTACTAAAAGTAAATACTAAGCCTGCCTGCCCATCAAGACAGGCTTTTTACTACCTGTATTTTCCCAAAACTTTGTTATTAATGCTTCACAGAAAAGAAATGCTCTTTCTTTGAATATGGCCCATATTTACCTAAAGATTCCTATTTTTAATCAAAATAATTTTATTAAAATACTTAGATAATAAATATTGTGTTCACAGATCAAATTATACTTATGTGAAATCATCATAAAAGTTACAAAATAAATGTAAGCTATTATCAACAGGTAAACTACGAAACAAGTTTAACAGGATATTTAGCCACAGTATTATTCCATAATTTCATGTTGAGATATAGATTCCCCACACCAAATTATTCCTGGGGTTATTTTCTTTAGCATAATTCTTAATATTACAAAATTAAATTTTTACAAGTTTCACAGAAAATTATCTTTATTTCAAGAAACTAGAACCATATACATAGCATTATTTGTATCCATCTTATATTACATAGCACTGTTCTTTCAAGACTCTAATATAAAACCTTATCCCATACCAGTCATGCAAACAAGAGATTAAGTAACTTACAAAAAAAAAAAAAATCCAGTGATTCTGATGGGATGGAACCCAGGGCTCTTGATTTCCACATTTCCACTGCATTCCCTGCACTAACCATACATATCATCTGCCCTTCTACAAAGTAATGAAAAAAATCCCAAACTCCAAGTGTAGCTTAATGTGGAAATTTAAAAAAAAAATGAGAATATGTAAAATTCTTTTGAGCTTCTCCACCAAAGTAATATGTAATTGTGTAAACTGAATTGTTTAGTTGTATAGTATATCACAGTGTTATATTCACAAAATAGAGATCAAACACTAATGGTCTTTCAGAAAGCCATTGCTACCATTATACTTTTCTTGGAGGCCAGCTCTGACAACCAGTTAATTAAAGAACTACAGCTATTTCTATTAGCGTATATTAAACCGTATACTGTCAGAACTGGAAGGGACCTCTGAGACTATCTAGCTCAATGGCCACGTTTTATAAAGGAGGAAATGGGACCCAGCAGATCAAGTGACTTAGCCAAGGGCACACAGCACATGAGTGGCAGAGCGAGCCAGAAGTCGTCTCAGGTCTACCATGCCATGCTGCTTCTCATTGCCAGGGTTAATCACAGTGCTTGCCCTCTCACATTTACTGTTTGGCTCTCTACCATTTCAGGTTGAAAGGCTAAGTTAATGTGCTTTAGATGGTCATTTTTAGAGTATCCCTTTTTTATATGAGCTCTTACAACTAGGAAAGCTTGAATCAAGGAACACTTATCAAGGTGGATCGAATGGAGAATTTTGGAATGAACACTTGACCTGATAGCCTCCAAAAGTTAAAAAAATTAATCTGCCTCTTTAATCTTATGAGGTAGTTAAAAATTCCCCTACCTGGAGAATACGAATCAGCAAAAGATTTTTTAAAAAACATCCAGGGTCACAGACAGAATCAGTTACTAAATATAGAGGGAAAAATATTAGCAAGGATCTGGGATCTGTACCATTTCTGTTACAGTAGTCTGGCTTATGTGATGGATAAATTCAACTCTCTAGGCCCTAATTCCTACAGCTTATAACACAGGTACACCTGCTGCTTATTTCACAAGGATAACAACACCTAATGAGACATAGCATGGCAGAGTAGATAGGGAGTTGGTATTAAAGCCAGGAAGCCCAGGATTCAAATCCAATTTATAGCATCCCTCCTGTGTGACCTTGGGTAAGTCACCCCGACCACTTTCTAAGATCACGAGTTGCAGAACAGTTGCAGGTCTATGGTAGTAGAGGAAGTTTCCTTACCAGGAAGGAGTTCTCTACTCCAGGGAAATCCCAAGTCTTGGGGCAGCCAAGTGGCACACAGTGGATAGAGCACCAGCCCTAGAGTCAGGAAGGCCTTGAGTTCAAATCCAGTCTCGGGCACTTACTAGCTGTGTGACCTACCTGGGCAAATCACAACCCCATTCCCTCAAAGAAAGAAAGAAACTCCAAGTTTAGATGGAAAGAAAAAAACCCAAACCTGCCCAAACACTTTGAGGTATGGCAATGGAAAGTGTCCTGTGAAATAAAAGTATTAAATGAACCCCAAACTGTTCTTAAATGCTTCAATAGGCTGGGGGTGGTGGGTTGGTGTTCATAATCAATATTGTTATCCCCTCATCTAGAAAGCTCCATTGTTCCAAAGGCAAAGTATGCATGCAGGTCACCTAAGACAAATTCTATCATGCAGATTCAGTGGCTCATCAGAATTCCCCATAGGCTCCTTCCTCCTACTAGTATATTTAACAATGAGAATGTCAACTCAGAGACTCAGCTGTTTTCTGTCAAATCTACTTTATATCTCAGCTCCTTGAAGGTATTCTTCCAATCAATTATCAAATAACCCAGAAACAGAGAGGTCACAACCTGCTCCCAGATGAGCCAGTAACAACTAGGAATCAGGGTCTCTCAATGACATCCAGCTTTATGTTTTTAATGACAAAAGGTACATTATAGAAACTGCTCTGGATTTTTAGGCACTGTCTATGGCATCTTCCATTTGTGCTAATCTTGAAGACAAGTTTAAACCATGGTACTGGGACTTCCAGGCTACTTTACAAACCGTCTGTTGAATCAAGCTGAAGTATGGCAGCTTATTCAATTATAGACGTTAGTAATATGGAATATGTCATTTTCCTACATTACATATCATTTCCTTGGTATAATCTACATTAGTAGAGGGAGGTTCCTCACTGTGAGTTCCCTAAACCACAAAATCCCACACCACCTCCCCAAACATGGAGAAATATCTTGTAGTACGAGGATCTGCCATTAAATTTTGTGCAGAATAACTTTTTTTTGGGGGGGTGGGGTAGGCAATGGGGTTAAGTGACTTGCCCAGCGTCACGTAACTAGTAAGTGTCAAGTGTCTGAGGCCATATTTGAACTTGGGTCCTCCTGACTTCAGGCTGGTGTTCTATCCACTGTGCCACCTAGCTGCCCCCAGAATAACTTTTAAAGAAGAGATCACATGAGATGGAAAAGAACATTGGCTCTGGAGGTAAGAGGCCTCAATTCTAGTCCTGCCTCTGATGCAGTGATCTGGAAAGTCAGTTTTACTTTTGTGCACCAGTTTCCTCACATAAAGGACTACAGAGTTTCTAAATTTCTTTAAAAAGTGCACAGCACCCATATACCTGTTAAAGGGGTTTTCTTCCATCAATGAACCATGACTACAAGGCAAGAGGATTATAGGAAATGCAAAACTGGGTAATTGATAGCAAGCAGGTAAATAGGGATGACATTTTGTATAACTGTTGTTGGCATTCAACAGTTCTTTTGGGCTACCATGCAATGGGGAACTACATCTTCATGATCATATTACCTTATATTTACACAGGACATTTGTTTTCAGAGTACTTCTACATATTTAATTTAATTCTCATGAATCAGAACGAGCAGTTATCATCATCCCCATTTTTCATTCGAGGAAGCTAAAGCTGTGGCTATAGCCACACAGACAGTAAGGGCAGGGCCAGGATGGACTACAAGGTGCTTTCCACTACTGACCTCTCTATCACTTGACTTCCAGAGACCACATAAAACCAGGTTTTGTGAGTTCTTTAAAGGCATACTAGAACAGTGGTATCAAACTCAAAAAGAAATGGATCCTTGGGCTGGCATATCAACTTAGACTAATTTACAAATTAATATTACCTATGTTGAACTGTCTTTTTATTTATCATATTAAACACTTCCCAATTACATTTGGTACACTCAGGAATTGTGTCTTGAGTTTGACACCTCTGTACTAGAAAAACAATTTGATCAACTGAAACCTAAATACTAGGAATCTTTTAGCTAAACAGAATGGTTATCATCCTCTGTACTCCCCCTGCCTCACTTCTTCTAGAAGAGGCAAATCACATGATCAGATTAGTTAAAAGAACACATTCTTAGACTGCTCCTTGAGGGCTAGGGCAGTCATTTTCATCTCTGTATCTCCAGTGCCTAGACTAGCATAGTGCCCCACACATACATAGTATGTATTTAAATGTCATAGGCTAAGCACAAATTCCCCACTCCTCAATTATTTCTTATAGAGTATTATATAGAGATTATTTTTTTCAGAACCATCAATCAACAAGCATTTACAGGGTGTCCCAAAAGTCTTAGTGCAGTTGTAAGCCTTAGTAGCTATTAAGGCTTGCAACTGCACTAAGACTTTTGGGTCAGCCTGCATTAAACACCAATTACATGCAAGGCCTGGGGATACAAATATAAAAAAAGGAAATAATTCTTATTTGCAATGACTTTATGTTCTTTAGGGGAGACAACATGTACACATATAAGTACATAAAAAAAAATCCTAAATTTAAGAAATTAAATTATGTTAAATCTGTTCTATTTTAAGGCAGAAAAGGAGACCACTACATTTTAGAAAGTTTCTAAAAAAAGGCTAAAACAAAAAGGTTTCTTTGGTTAACTCTGAGTTAACCACATTAATACCTATTCCAGTTAATCATTAATACATGAATACATGAATAATGTGTGTGAATATTCCAAGAATAATCACAGTAATGGAGTGTGAAATATCTTGAAACCTTTGAAATGCCTTGTAGTTCTGGTTTTTCTTAGTATATATTCAAAACTCTTCTATTACTCCAATTTTAAGATTCCAGACTTAAGCCTTTTGAGAGCTGGGATACTGTTATGGCTCCCAAAGAAGCTTCAACTCTGATCCCCTGATTATACGAATAATTCATATCACTCAATTTCACAACAATGTGCATG